ATAAGCAATTGTCAAATATAGTCGCTATATATCGACTCATCATTAAACTAATATTTTTTATATATACAGAATATTTTTTGCTTTTGAAAGGGTTGTTATATAATGCAATTTATCTAGATAAATTGGAGCAATAATTTATGGGAAAGCTCTCCAGAAAGAAAAAACACAACATATATGTATTGCATTATTGAATATCTATCGTCAAAAAAATTTTCATCAATGTCGAAATATTTAAATATTGAGAAAAAATTCAGTTTAAATATTTATATAATTACAATATTATTTACTTTATGTAGGCACCGGATGTTAGTGTATTAAGTATTCTTTCTAAATAGCCTGAGTAATTCGTATCTTCAATTCTATTATTATTATAAATTCCTTTCAATACAAAAGGACACTGATTATTGCATCAAATTTTATCTTGCGAATTGAACGGATTATAGAAATTTTCCTAATTTTATATTTGTATCAGTATATTTGTGACCCCCCCTTCGAGGTAGTTTTAAATCATTTTATATATACTAGCTGACCCGGCAAACGTTGATTTGCTGATTAAGGTATTTTCTAACAATTTCTTCTAGAGAAACAAAAATACTAATACTTAAGTGTAAAAGATGGTTTGTTTGAATGCTCTTACAAGAGGTATTATCAAACAATAAACCCCATTAGTTTGTCCTATATTTTGTCAATACAATCAAACTGGAAGTTACTACTATAGAAACCTGGAACTATAGAAAAAATGGTATAATCCAACCAAGTCTTTTTTTTTTTTGGTCTTTCGACTTATTGATTGATATTGATTTCGACTTATTGATAATACTAATGAGCTTATAGAAAATCTTCAAACTTCTGCGAGGAGAGATGGAAATGAATTAAGTATTTCTTCTTTGATCTGCTTTTTGAAAAGATTCCGCGAATTAAAGTAAATTTAATAAAAAGTCCAATTTGACTTAAAAATCATACCAATTATATCACTTCAAGGGTATAGCTGGTTACACATCTTTTTCCCTCTACTTTTAAATCTTGTTATTAAACAATGCTTAACTTTACTGATTTTGACATATCGGTGGTGCACCTTTTTAACCCCGAACCTTTATTTACTATTATTCTTCTTCGATAAATTCTGGGAAATTATAACTGGAAAAATGTTATTCGACAACAAGTCCCTTTGATAGATACCAAATTTAGGTTCTGAATTTAAAAAGATAAATAAAAAATATATAATATAGAAAATGTTTTATAAATGCCAATGAGTAATAATAATGATACAAATAAAATTCTGAGCACCGAATTTGAGAAACATATGCAAAAAGTGAATTTTTATATTAGCATTTCAAAAAAGTTGATATTTTGAGTTTCTAGTAACACTTGCAATCCGTTTAATAACGTTTTTGTGTATAATATAACTGCAAAGAAAACTACTTACTACAATGTAATCATAATTAAATAATATTAATGTAAACCATCATTTAAACGTGATTGAACATCATCTCTGTCAAAAATTTTGACATTTGACGTATTAGCCACCGTCCATTGTTTTATTAAATTGCGCTCTTCTAAAATTTTAAACTTGAAATGTAAAGTTTCTACGCGATTTTGAAATAATACCTCACCTTTCCGACAACCTACTGATTAGCACAAATTTTTCAAGACTAAGACTGGCCAAATCGGTTTAGGCCGTTTTCGAGTTTTAGTGGATCATTTTATCGAGCTCCATTTTTATATATAAGATTTTCAAGTTTGAATTCAGTATTCAGTTATTCGCGATACTAGCACATCATTCTGAGAAATCTGTTCACACATACACAAACACATACATACTTTTTCCAATTGGGTCTCATTCGATACAGAATGTCTTAAAACATTGAGCGAATCGGATTTTTTGGCGAAAACTAAACTTCTCTTTCGTGAAGTTAAAAATGTTTCACAAGATAATAAATCTATCTTTACCTGTCTCTGGGGTAAAATAGAAGGAACAAAAGGAATGGGAAGAAGAAGAATGCAGACGATTGACGACTTACGCGAGAAGAAAATACAGGGAACTGAAAGCCGAAGCACACGATCAAGAAGCATGGAAACAAAATTTGGAAAGGAAAATACATGAAAAAAAGGGGGGATAGACAATAGTGGTAATGGGATGAAGGACAAGGAAGTCATTTGTTGTGGTGGCTCTCACACCATGGACCTGCCTTCGGGCAGACTACCATTTTTTATTACCTGTCTCTGCACCCTGGCGCTACCCGTATGCAGCAAACTGAACAAATCTCGCAGCAGGCCATGCTGTGTCGATAGGTAAGCCCTTCCGACACTGCTCCCCGATAAAGCCAAAACCTGAAAGAACAAAGAAGAGCGTAAAAACTTATAAAATGTGCAACCCTTTTATACTCTTCTTTGTCCTCACCATGCTCAGCATTTCGAAGCAATAATTATCCGGTGACTTGGTTAGCGACTCGGTGCTACTGTTTTGGTGCTGAGTTACAGAGGCATGATTCTGCGAAGTGTTCGGCTGAGTCGGCGTAGAATTTCCTTCGAGGGCTGTCTCATTCGAAGGAGTGCAAAGGAATGTTTCCCATTCGACGCGGGCTCGAACTGCTTCCTTGCGGATTGCTTGGACTATGTGCACGATAACCTGAAAAAGAATATTTTTTTTTTATTTCTCTAGAATCCTCATCAATTGTCGACATTACCCAATCATTTGGCGTAAGAAGATTGAAACGTCAATGGCCTTTAGATTTAGTCTTATATTAGCTTCAATATAATATTATCATATCAATTGTTAAAAACTAAGAAGATCTTGCTGGAGTTCTTAGACTTTGCTCTCAAATATTGCCAATTTAGCTTATAGGAATCTTTATGTATTTCTGATTGCTGAATAAAACACAGTTTGAAAAAATCTCAAGATTCAATTACAATCTGTTTTATAAATACAAAAAAAAAACATTTAGTAATTATGAATGACAATATATAATGTTATGACCAAAATAGTGTTTACCCATTAGTATTCCTTTTTGTGTTGCGAGAAAATGATCACTAAAAAAACTAGTGGTTTATGACATCGTGCCTTAAGGCAAATTGCTGGAGCTTCCCGTACCAGAATTATATATTCGAGGCAAAAAAATCAGTGACCAATTGATCAATGATTAATAACAATTGTTTTAAACATTTTTCAAATGAAAAATTATAATCACTATATATTTTATCGTTCATAAAATTTACAGTGAGGATCCTATCGCTCAAAGCACTTGAGAAAGTTTATATTAACAAGAGGTGCCGAATTACGCATATACTTCTTATAATTACAATAACGCATATGAAACATATACATTTTTAAACTGAATTGTAAATTTGAAATTTATATTTAAAGTATACTACTTTGCATATTTTTGAAAATTTTGAACAAAATTTTTTTCTGTAAATGTTGAAATTTGTGAAACTGAAATATAATTCTGCTTCACCCTCCAAAAAATCAAACGGAGTTCGATTAGTTTCAGCAAAACTAGAAACAAAATAAACTAGTGGTGTATGGCATCGTGCCATAAGGCAAATCGCTGGAGGAATATTAAATGTTTTCAAATAGATTATTATAAATACTGTAACATTAGAACAAGTATATTAGAACTTTAATTAGAATTAAAATTAAAATCTGAATTATTTTCGATATTCTAAAAAAAATTTGAATTATTTTGTTAAAACAAGCCAAAAAATTCTTCGATTCATCCAAATCTGACGCTTAGTTCTCTCAGAAGCTGTCATTTTTTGCACATTTAGCTCTTTATCTTCAAAATGGTAGACCTGCCTTTTCCAAAAACTAATCAGCACGTCTCCCTATCAATAGGAATCGAATGTTTTTTGAACCATTCAAATCGGTTGATCCGTGCGCCCGAAAACGTGGACGAAAAAATGCGGACATACAAAACACACACACACATCCATTTTTTCTGAGATATATCAGTAAAATGTTCAGAAAACGTCGAGAAATGCAAAAATTTTCATATTCGATTTTCGGCCCATTACAATAACTTATCCTAAGGAAGTTAATAAAATAAAATAAAATAAAATAAAATAAATAAAATTATTGCTCAAAACATTTTAAAAATATTTATATTAGCAAGAGGTGCCGAATAAATCCATCTGAGGATATATTTCTTACGATTAGAATAACACATTTGAAATATGTGCATTTTTAAACTTTCAATTTTAGGTTTACAAATTCATATTTGAAGTATAAAGCTGTATATTTTCGAAAATTTTGTATTTTTTTTCGGAATATTTTGATATTTGTGTGAACCGTATAAGTGAACTTTTAAACTTAAAAATCTTGGTACGGAGCCCAACAAAATTAGTACTCATTTCTAAAAACTGTAACAAATATCTGATAATTTGATAAGCATACGTCAAATATTCATTTTTGTTCAACAAAGAACTTTTTTTTTACATTTTTCTCTGTATCTCCAAAACCGCTAGGCTTACCTTACCAAAAATTTCATCAATTATTAACTTCCCATAGGGTAAGTTATAATAATAACAGCAAAAAAATCGAAAATGAAAATTTTTATATATCTTCACGTTTCAAAGGTTTCTCTACATTTTGGCAGACCTTATAAAAAAATGATGTATGCGCGATTGCTTTGAAAAAAGTTCAAAATATCCAAAATATTTCAAAGTTAAAAAAGAAATTGAGTTTTTTTTCGAAGGAGTTATTTTTTCCTAAAAAAAAGTGCATGTTAGCATATTACTAAGAAATATTATTCAAAATTATTATATGATGTATTTATTTTACAAATGCCATCTCGCAATATAGCAAAAATCCAAATTATTCAAAGTTAAAAAAAAATTCAATTTTATTTTTGGTACAGGAAGTTCCAGCAAATTGACTTAAAGTATGATGCCATACAACTAGTCAATCAACTAGTTTATTGATTTAAATTAATGGTAACATTTTTTACACAAATCCGGAGATACAAAGCAAGAAATAGCAATTTTTGAGAGAATGACACACCCATTAGAGTGATTCAAAAAGCATATAAGGCTTGCGTCAATGGTGTTTGTTTATTATATTTTTGTTCTTGCAGGTAAACATAGATTAAGGTCGTCGCCAAAATATAAGCACTTGTGTTAGATTTATAAAATACGACAATAAAATTTACAGTATTTATATTACTTATTTTAAAATATTTAAAACAAACAATTAATTTTTTAATAATGCTTTTGTTGGAAATTGAGAAGACACTTCTTCCAATCAGTAGGAATTGAATGTTTTTGAAATCATTCAAATCCGTACGCTCGAAATCGTTGACAAAAATTTGTATCCACACACACCCACACATAATTTTTTCTGAGGTATGCCAAAACGTTCAGAAACGTTTGAAACGTGAAGATATGCAAATATTTTCATTTTTGATTTTTGGACGATTACTATAACTTACCGTGCGAAAAGTTAATTAAAACTGGTTAATATAAATACTATGTTCTATCTATATCTATTGAAGTAAAACTTCTTTAGATACGACTAAGAAGTAATTCTACTATATGAGAAACTGACAATAAGACTGAAGTTGGTTACGCCTGATTTTTGAAAATTCTGATTTGTCATTGGCCGCCGATGACAACATTTGAATAGAGTTGATGGGATTGGTCGCATATGTTTCAAAACAAGACGATAGTTTTTCATTCAGCTATGACAAACAAATGTAAAACTTATGAAAGGAAAATTTGCAACCGAACAGTTGGATACGACCTTTTAAAATCGATTTAATGTGATGGTAATATACGATAAAGTATACACAATTTATATTTGTTATAACAATGTTGTCGAAATAACAAATACTGAAATTAATGCCACAAGAACAAATACAATTAATACATTCGATTTAAATATTAGTTAAAAGTGGTATATATAAATAACTGTTTCATTTCTAATTACCTGTTTCTGCAAATGAGTCAGCTTGCTCCTAGAAAATAGGATTCCAACCATGTGTTCGCGTAAATCCAAAGAACCAGAATCTCCATTCGAACTATCGATATCCTGGTCTCTGTCTGCGGAATAATTTATATTTTCGGGGACTGACTCTCCCAAAATCAGTTTACCAAACACCTAAAAAAGTAATAAACAATAATAAATAATCACCAAATATGAAAAACCAGTCCTACTATCACTTCTCTATAATGATTGATCATGTTTTTAATAGACAAAAAGATAGCGTTTATGTTATGCTTGTCTCTTGGTAGTAAAAATTGTAAAAATGTCAATCTAATTGCTATCAACGATCAGATGTTTTACACATAAATCTGTATGTTATATATGCATTTCATGAAAATGCAGTTATCATAACCATTCTTTCTTGCTTTGTTTATATGTAAAATACGCCTGATCGTACAGCAAATAGATTGACAAGTAGAATTGGCCCATATGGCGCATCACGAAGACGCTGGTAACATAAGATACTTTTTTGCTTTTTTATATTATATTTTATGTATTGGTTGTTTTGTTATTTTTGAAAATTGTGAATTGTATATCTAATACATCTAATAGATCTAATACATCTACGTAAAATACGCCTGATAGCACAGCAATTAGATAGACATTTTCATATATCTTTTGGTCTGTTACGGCAGATTTGGCCCATATATCTCGATTAGTATTTCTATTATTATTTTACCTGTGATGTAATCAATCGGAAAACTTTCAAAGTCTCAGTCTCGCAATTCCTTCGCTGGACACTGGCTGCACTTTGCTGCCGAATGGTCCTGGACAAACGATCCTGTCCAGGTCCTGGTGCCAGGTTGCCTAGAATCCTGACTTGCCTGATTCTAAGAGAGTTGTCCGGACCGTGGGCTTCGATGCGGACGTTGAATTTGGGCTTATCTAGAAAAAAAGTGTAATGAGTTATTATAATAAATTAATACTGTACAGTCGTTTCGACCTAACTAAATTAAAAAAATAGAGTGAAGAAAAAAGAAAAGAGTTTTAATTATGTTTTTGTGAGTATGGGGAGCATCCGATCTGAATTATTCAAAAATCTTTTGACTTATTGACGGAATGAAAAATTGAATAAATTGTTGCGAAGGCAGGTCCAGCGGTCTGGAAGATCCAGAAAAAAATTAAAAACGCTATTTGACGGTCGAAAATAATCATTACACATATGCAATTATCAGATATCTCGTATTATAATAATAAATACCAATTTTGTTTTTATTATGTTTAAATTTAACTTATAAGTTCAAAAAACGAATGTTTCAATCAACCTATTTGATTGAGTAACGAAAACTTTAAATAAATTTCAAAATTGTCGGATTCATCAAAAAATTTCAAATTTTTCAAAATTTTCAAAAAAAAAATCATTTTCAAAATAGCCATACTTTACCAAAATATTCAAAAATATTCATTTTTTTTAATGTTTCAAACCTTTTTGAATCAAAAACATTTAAAAACATTTAAGAAATTTAAAGAATATCAAGTGTTTCGAAAAATTTCAAAACTTATTTTAAAGAGTCAATTTAATCAAATTATTAAAAAATTATAAAAATTCTTAAATGTTTCAAACCTTCTTGTATCAGAAACATTCATTCAAAAAATTTCAAAATTTTCAAGTTTTTCAGAAAATTTCAAAATTTTCTCGATTTTTATCAAATTATTCGAAAATATTGTCAAATGTTTTTTGAATGGTTGAAATTGCAAGAAATTTCAACATTGTCAAAAATAATTAAAATTAAAAAAAAAAATCAAAATTTTCAAAATCAAAATATTGAAATTTTTTAACACAAAAACACATCTAATTTTTCCTTTTTAAGAATTCAGAAATGTTAAATTAGTGTACAAGAAGTTACAGTAATTTGCCTTAAGGCACGATGCCATACACTACTTGTTTAACATTTATTTGTACTATGACGATTTATTTATATATTTTTTTTAAATTTTATTTTCTATGAGGTATTTGGCTTATGTCATTCACTCGCACACATACACACACACTTTCAAACACTCATATAAATTAATCTGGGATGCATAAAGGCATTTCTTTCGCTATACAAAAAAAAACATATAAATTAATCTGGTAAAAATTATCAGTTATATCACTTCAATAAGTGATTCTGATATTCTTTTCATGTAAAGTTGTGGTAGTTCTAAGGGTCCTCCATATTATCAAACTAACTATATCATAACTTATAGTTAGTTATTTTATTTTTACAATTACCTGGTAAGAAGCACACAATCCAGGTACCAGATCGACTTTCAACATCGACCGATTTAATCAGCTTCATCTCGGAGAAATTCACACCGTTGTAGAAGCTCAAAGCTGATACTTTGTTCTGAAAATAGATAAGCGAAATAGAAACATTTATTGAAAAAGAAACTTAACACTAGATATACCAGCCGTTTGTATATACCTATTTCTACCAATACCAGTCAAAATGACTGGTCTCTAAGAAAACATACTTATTGTGATTTAAGTTGAACAAAACTTATTACAGCTGTTAAATAAACTTATAGATATTGTCAAATAGCAAAATATATTAATTTTTAATGGTTTTCACAGTACTTTAGCACAATACTCAATAAAAGTGTCCGGCAGCACCCACTTGCGCGTAAAATTACAGTTACCGACGTGTTTTTAGATTTTAATTTCAATGCCATATGAATAATTGTAAAAATAATATTGGTTATTGCATTTATACCCTTCATGGTATATGTTTCAAGAATTTTCATTACTACAAATTCGCTTAGGGGGGTTGATTCTTCGTCTTTCGCTAAATACGTACAACCATTTACCATATATTTTGTTTCTACTTCAGATGACAGACATAATTTTATGTAAATTTATAGTTTCTTTGGCATTTACTGGCTAAATATGCTTCTGGCCTTTGTTGGAAAATGTTATTCAACCAAAGTGATATGAGCACCCGGTTTGAAGCAATCTTTGCTATTTACTATAATTTGTTCCAAACCCGGGCTTTTTTTCTATAAATTTGGCCTGAGTATGTGTCTGAAAGCTCTTTGAACTTCTAATCTACCTGCAAAACCTATTTCACTTTACTACAACTCTTGTCCAAATAGTTTCGTCCAAACTAATTTTAGTTTCCTGATTTGATGCATTACTTCCAAATTCGTCTTCAGAATTGGAAGAAAGTGGCTCGCATCGTCTCATACGTTTGTTTGTGATATCTATCCATTTACTAACGTACTTGATCCATCTGTATTGTCTTTATCACGAAATTTTCCCATCTCTACAGTCGATAATAGCACTGCCTTGTGGATTGATTTGTTTATCTAACTAGCTGTAAGTGGAATTCTGTCTTAAGGCAATTAAGGCATCGTGCCTTAAGGCAAATTGCTGGAACTTCCCGTACCAAAATTTTTTTTTTAAAAACGATTAAGATTTTTGAAAAAAATTTACTTTGAAAAAATAAGATTTTTGAGAAACTATATATTGGACAAAAAATTACTTTTTTTTGAAAAAAAAAAATTTTTTTTATTTTTTTTTTTTTAAAAAAATGTTTTATTTTATTTTGACATATTTTGGAAGATCTAAACTTTTTTTCAGAGCAATCGTACTGCTTTAACTGCATAAAGACGAAATATCAAAGCCCGTAAGCGCCGCGTCGCCGTCTAACGCGTAAACATTGGTACGGAACCCATAGAAATGTAAAAAAAATTTATACTTATTGTTAAAATCTCTATAAAATATTTGATAATTTGATGTGCATATGTCTAATGATCATTTTTGACCGCCAAATGGCATTTTTTTTTACTTTTTTCATCAGATCTCCGAAACCGTTAGACCTGCCTTCATGAAAATTTGATCAATTCTTTATCTTGTCAATACAAGTAAAATGTTTTTTAAAATATTCAAATCGGACGCTCCGTTCTCTTAAAAACTGAGTTACCGTTTTCGGCACTTTTTGCCCCGTATCTTTGGAACGGCTAGACCTGCTTTCGCCAAAAACTAATCAGCACGTCTCCTTATTAATACGAATCGAATGTTTTTTGAATTATTCAAATCGGTTGATCCGTGTTCCCGAAATCGTCGACGAAAATTTGTATCCGCACATACATACACACACGCACATACATACATACATACATACATACATACATACATCATACATACATACATACACACACACACACACACACACACACATACATCCATTTTTTCTAAGGTATGCCAAAATGTTCAGAAACCTCTGAAACGTAAAGATATATAAACATTTTCATTTTCGATTTTTTTGCGATTACTATAACTTGCCCTACGGGAAGTTAAAAATTCACCGTCACTATCATCATATATTTCAAATCCTAGATCCAAACATTTCGGAGATTCGCTGATTGTATTTTCCAAACAAGCTAAAAAAACATTTTTTCCATTCTTTTTTCGAAGACTGACAGTCGCTATAAAAATAAGTCGAAACCATGGCAATTTTCTCGTTTATAGTTTTTTTTTACTCAAGAATATATTTTTGAAAATTTCTGTGTCCACGCGAATGTTACTTACTTGTGTCAGTGTACAAAAAAAATAAAAATTTATACTTGAAAATCACTTTGAATAAAATTTTATTTAGTGTGTTGAACGAAGCTCGAAACAATTGTTTTGTTGGTAAAAATCTAGTAATACTTCAGCAATCTGCATTTTTACAATGTAAAAAAGAATAAAGAATAAATAATATATATTGTCGTCGATAAGAGAGTAGGCGATAAACGCATACGATCTATGGCTATTGTTATTTCGGTTCTTTTATCAAACATTTTATATAGAAACTTGCACCAGTCATTTTGACTGGTGCTGGTACAAGTAGTAGTAACACAATTTATTTTTGCTACTAATATATATAAAGTAACTTTGAATGCACAAAATGGTTTCTATACTTATAACATAAAACGTCATAACTTAATTTCACAAAACAAATTTTACATATAATGGGAATTTTGAATTGAAAGTGCCCAACCAGTCATTTTGACTGGCGTGGTATATCTAGTGTTAATCGGAAACAACGCAAACCGAGGTATGTAATTATATTAAGATATACAACTAACTTGTTACATCAATTAAAAAACACTTATACAAGTCTAGAGCAAAAATAATGTGTTTTGTCTATTCTAATTATCTATTATCTTACCCCTATATCTCTGGTATTATCGACATGAACATATACGGCCTTCGGGCAAGTCTTCTCGTTATCGTCATCAGGCCATATCAAGTCAATATGTTTGGGTCTATTCCTGTCTTCATCACCAGATTCCCAGAAAGTCTCGGTGCTATCATCGACCAGACTAGCACTCATCGCCTGCCTGCTGGAGCAGCGGATTTCCACATACTGAGTCACGTCTTGGAGCCATTCGACAGAAACAGCCTGGGGGTAAAAAAAAAATTATTGTGATAGGTTTTTACCATATACTTGTCAGCATTCTCTTAACAATATCTATTGATAATGATATCATCTTAACTATTTACTTTAAAATAATTTCTTATAAATAATTACTCAAGTATTTCAATTTTTATCAGGAGAGTTGATAATTCTTTTCAACCTTCGTCGATAGTTCTCTGTTATTAAGGATTTTGCTAGTGAAAGAGCTTGTTTCTATATTTATGTGCTGTTTTTGTTATTACATCTTTTATGGTAGTGTCGAAATGAATTAGCCAGTTCGGGATATATTTTTTACCACCTAAGACAATTTTCAAAAATTTGTTCTGAAATTTGTGTATTATTTCTATATTTGTCTTATGAGCACTGCCCCACAATTGCATTTCATAACACCACTTTGGTTTAAATGAAGTTTTATATAAAAGTAGCTTATTGTATTGTTTTTTTTTTTTTGAATTAACAATTAACGCACACATACATCCATTTTTCTAATTATAAGGTATGCCAAAATGTTCAAAAACCTTGGAAACGATTTTTTCAACCAACAATTTTCATTTTACCCTACGGGAAGTTAATAGATTTTTTTTTAAATATTTGACACACTAGGAGCGTGTCAAACAGGCCAAACTGATATAAAAAAGTAAAAATTCGGTGGAAAAATACTATTCAACATGATGAAGGGTTATGTGAATGCTTTACTAAACAAATTTTATTTATATCAATATGATGTAATTGGAGTAATAGATCATTTAAAGTGAGTATGGAATTAAATGCGCGTAAACTCTTTTAAATTTCAATTATACATCTTTAATTGAAATGAAAGTCAAATTGGTTTGAATTAGAAAAAATAGTTTATCTGGAAAGATATATGGAAATTATTGCAAAATTAAGAAGAACGTGTTTTTTTAAAGCTATTGCAACTCATTTCATTCAAAATTTTGATATCCAAGTGTATATAACAGTTTTTACTAGATTTTAGTAACTACTATCTAGTATTTACTAATGTGAACAAATAATGCCTGAAATTGAAATTAAAAGTTATTTGAAAAAAAAAAATCAAAAAAAAAATTAACTCCATACATTGCTAATTATCAAAATACCAAAGTCCGCATTTTCAAATCAACTACGAATTGTTCAAAGCTCTAATATCCAAGTGTATAATATAATAGTTTTTACTACATTTTAGTGAATTTTATCAAGCTTTAATAGATAAATTTAATTACATTATGCTCGCCAGTAGAGTTCATTTTTTTTTAAATTGATTCAACAAAGCAATTATACTGAATTTTTTGGAAGTAGAGTTTTTGTCTAAAATATTAATTTGTAAAAATTTTCCACAAAGTTGTGAAGGTTCATTTCAATTTATATTTTCTTTTGATTTTTTCTCGTTGCTAATTGGTTTTTAGTTTGATCGTCAATAGAGTTCTTTTTTACTTCTGAAAATGACAGAATTTCTAAAAATATCAGAATCAGCTCATCAGTAAAGTTCTTTTTTTGAAAGAAACTTCAGCATTTGCTCGCCAGAAGAGAAAAAGTGAAAATTTTCTGGTCAATAGAATTTTTCGTTTTTTAAAAAAGTAAGAATTTGCTCGTCACTAGAGTTCTTTTTTTAACATTATCAATTTTATTAATGTATATCAGAATTTGGTCGGCAGTAGAGTTCTCTTTTTACTAAAAATTTATTTAGAATAAAAATTTGCTCGCCTGAAAAAATCTGATAACTTTTTATAAAAAAAAATTTTTAATATCAAAGTTTGTTCATAGTTCTTTTTTATTAACAAAAAAGAAGTCAGGATTTGCTCGTCAGTAGAGTTTTTTTTTCTAAATACACCAGAATTGCATCGTCAGTAGAGCTCCTTTTTCAAAAAAAAAAAAATATCAGAACTTCATCGTCAGTAGAGTTTCTTTTTTTTCTAAAAATATAAGAATTTGCTCGTCAGTAAAACTTTTCTAAAAATATCAGTATTTGATTGTCAGCAAAGTTCCCATTCTTTTAAATGTCAGGTATTGCTCGTAAGTAGAGTTTGTTCGTCGGGAGACTTCTTTTTTTTCTTCTTGATCTGAATTTGCTCGTCAGTAAAGTTTATTAATGTAAACAAATTAAAATGTTCGGAATACAAATTTTAAGCTAGTTGAGTAGTAGTTTGAGTGACAATGAAACGAGTGAAAATTCACCAAAAACATCAATCCCACAGGCGAGTATTTTTACCCGCCCCGCTTATAGTGTAGATAATAAATAATCTAAGATGCAATAATGATAATAATTCTTACATTGGTGTTTGCCACAGTATTATTCTCGCACAACGAATTCACAGCATCTTCACTAGCCTCTTCTTCAGATCTCGACAAGATCTTGCTTATGTTCCCAAAAACATGAGATCTGAAATGATAAAAAATAAATAAACTAGATTTAAGTGGCATTAAACCTTGAGGCAATAGACTTAATCAATAAGATATCAATATATTAATTTATGAGTCATTCATAACAGACTATTCAGATTTGTACAAATTTTCCAAAGGTATTATTACGTAGTGTGTTTTGCCAAATGGTTTGAATATTAAAGTAATACGAACTTTATTGATTTTTGTAATTAAACCACTTGCTATAATACATATCTTGGTATGCTAACTTAAACCTTTCTTTCTCTTTCATTCTTTCTTTTGTTATTTCTCTTCCTTGCTCTCTCTTTCATTCTCCCTTTCTCTTTCTTTCTCTCTTACTTTCTATCACTCTTTCTTTCTCTCTCCCTATAGTCATACCGAATCCCTAATTTTTATTTTTCAACATTTTTACTACACTATACCAAAACGATCAGAGCTTTTCAATCATAAATATAACTAGTTGTGTATGGCATCGTGCCTTAAGGCAAATTGCTGGAACTTCCCGTACCGTACTCGAGAAATTTTAAACGTTTTCAAATATATTATTACAAATACTGTAACTTTCATAATTTTTTCTATCTTGTTTGTTATATCTGAGCAAATCAAAATCAAATGTAAATCATAAATCAATTTATCTCCAGAACATCCAGAATAATCGTCATTTCATTTCGAATTCAATTTCATAAAAATATTTGCCTAATTTGCACAAAATTGAAAAAGTGCTCCCGTATAGTCACAGTCTAAACGCATTTGCAAATAATTCTGTGCGACATTTTCACTTATACTGTGCTTAGCTTGGCGGCATTTTCACATTTTTCAATAGTTTTTCACAAAATTGGAAAAGTGCTCCAGTATATAAACAGTACCAGAGAGGCGCTTAGACTGTGCTTAGCCTGGGTAATTTTTTGAATTTTTAATTCAAAATTACAAAAATATTTTATGGAAAATAAAAAAAGGTGTAATAATTTTTTATCCTCAAAAGCAATTGTTTTGTTAATACAAGCAGAAAGTTTTTTTAGATCATTCAAATCGGACGCTTAGTTCACGCAAAAACTGCCATCTTTTGCACATTTAGCTCTGTATCTCCGAAATGACGGGACATGTCTTTGCCAAAAATTAATCACCTCTTCTCCCGATTATTACAAATTGAATGTTTTTTAGATTATTCAAATTTGATACTCCGTTCTCTCAAAAACTCGATTTCTATTTTCTGCACTCTTTGCTCCTTATCTCCGTAACGGCTGGACCTGCCTTTGCCAAAAACTAATCAGCACATCTTCCTATCAATAGGGATCGAATGTTTTTGAAACCATTCAAATCAGTTGATCCGTGCGCCCGAAAAGGTGAACGAAACAATGCGGACATATAAAACACACAACACACACATCCAATTTTTCTGATGTTTACTAGTAAAATGTTCAGAAACCATCAAAACGTCGAGAAAGCAAAGATTTTCATTTTCAATTTTCGGCCCATTACTATAACTACCCTACGGAAAATTAATTATAACTTTCACAATATTTGCGGTATTAATAACTATTCCAAGATCCTAATAATTAACTTCCCGTAGGGCAAGTTATAGTAATCGCAAAAAAATCGAAAATGAAAATTTTTATATATCTTTACGTTTCAGAGGTTTCTGAACATTTTGGCATACCTTAGAAAAAATGGATGTATGTGTGTGTGTGTGTGTGTGTGTGTGTGTGTATGTGTGTGTATGTATGTATGTATGTATGTGTGTGTATGTATGTGCGGATACAAATTTTCGTCGACGATTTCGGGAACAAGAATCAACCGATTTGAATAATTCAAAAAACATTCGATCCGTATTGATAAGGAGACGTGCTGATTAGTTTTTGGCAAAGGCAGGTCAAGCCGTTCCGAAGATACGGGGCAAAAAGTTCCGAAAACGGTAACTCAGTTTTTAAGAGAACGGAGCGTCCGATTTCAATAATTCAAAAAACATTTTATTTGTATTGACAAGATGAAGAATCGATACAACTTTCATGAAGGTAGGTCCAGCGGTTTCGGAGATATAGAGGAAAAAGTAAAAAAATGAGCCATTTGGCGGTCAAAAATGATCATTAGACATATGCACATCAAATTATCAGACATTTTATAGAGATTTTAACAATAAGTATACATTTTGTTAACATTCCTATCGGTTCCGTACCAATGCTTATGCGTTAGACAGCGACGCGGCGCTTACGCGCTTTATATTTTGTCCCTATGTAGTTGAAGCAGTACGATTGCTTTGAAAAAAAGTTCAGATCTTCCACAATATGTCAAAATAAAGAAAAAAATTTTTTATTTCAAAAAAAAAAAAAATTTAAAAAAAAATTTTTTTAAAAAAAAAATTTTTTTTTAAAAAATTTTTTTTTTCAAAAAAAACTAATTTTTTGTCCAATTTATAGTTTCTCAAAAATCTTATTTTTTCAAAGTAATTTTTTTTCAAAAATGTTAATCGTTTTAAAAAAAAAAAAATAATTTTTGGTACGGGAAGTTCCAGCAATTTGCCTTAAGGCACGATGCCCTAATTGCCTTAAGACAGAATTCCACTTACAGCTAGTTACTCTCTATCCATTACTTCGATTTACTAAAATCGTCTATTATTACCTGTGTAGGAATGCATGGTCACTAGCAGTGAACCTGACTGCCCAACACCTGATGGCCTGGGTCTGCAAGGGCGACCCTGGAGGCAGAGAAAGGGTCAGGGCCGCGACTCCCCGGAGCAGGGAGTGGAAGGCACCTGCCAAAAGGGCACACTGCTCCCCTGCGAAGTGGCTCAAGTCGGAGACGGGGTGGGAGCAGGGTGAACTCTCCTGGAAGAAAATAATAAAGAATTAATTGATTGCAAAGCATAAATATTTTTTTATTAAAGAAGTGCGGACTCGGAAATTTCTTGATTCAGAAAAAAGCCTGATTCGAATCAAGTTTGTATATTAGACATAAAAATCAGTCCAGTATCATTACTATTACATAATCAAAAGTTACAAATAATTCATTAATGTTTAATAAGTGTTTCGATAAAAATTTGATATCAAAAGATTGATCGAAACCATTTATCGAAACTCTCATTTCATAACATATCTAGCACAGATTTTAAATGTTATCTAAATGAACCACCCAAGTTTATGTTAATAAAATTTAAAATCCATACTACATTGACAAAAGCGCAGACATATAGTGTTCTAATTTTTTTGAATTAAGAGTATGGTCTCTAAAACACAAAATTATCAAATTTAATTATTAATATATCCTGAACAAATTTGCTCCTCCCAGCGAAAAGACAATAACGCATTTGTACCTGTGAAGTGGAGTAACTTTTCTAGGCTTCAAACCTATTATATATAATTTTCTGGTCAGTAGAGTCCCTTTTTCGTATTCTAGTTAAAACAAATAAATTGGTTTGTCATTAGAGTTGCGTTTTTATATTCTAGTCAACCTCCCGTATGGTATACGGCGCTTACGCGCTTTGAAATTTCGACTCCAAATCAGCTATGCAGCGCGATTGTGTAAAAAAAATGTTTAATATTTTCAAAAAAAAACAAAACAAATTTTTCAACAAAGTCAATTCCTTTCAAAAATTCCAATATTTCATAAAAAAACAAAAATCTATTTTTTTTTAAATTTTGCAAAGTTGTTTTTAATAATTTAGTTTCCGGTACGAAATGAACAAAATTAAATTTACTTGTTAGTAGAGTCTCTTTTTTCATATTCTAGATCAAAATTCCAGTTTGCGCGTTAGTAGAGTCCCTTTTTCATTAATTTTCAATTTAATTTGCTCATCAGTAAAATCCCTTTTCCATCTTCTAGATCAAAATTAAATTTACTTGTCTGTAAAGTCCTTTTTTATAGATTGCAATACAATTTGTTCGTAAGTATAGTTCTTTTTTATCTTGTAGATCAAAATTAAAGTTTGCTCGTCACTAGAGTCCATTTTTTCGAGTCAGCACTTCACTTATATTCATCATAATGAAATATTATATGGATAAATGCAATTATCAAATCGATTGAAGTCGGATGCCGATTTTTTAAATCTTTATTCGGCCGGTCGAATCTAATTATTAAATACAGTAGAACCTCGTTTATCCGGACCTCAGATATACTGATTCTCGACTATCTGGACTACCAACTGCGACCAATTTATATGTATGTACATACCTACAACCATTCGAATTTTTGCACGATTAATGCTGCAGTGTAGTATATATGTAATGTAATTTAAGAAAATATATATGTACATACGTAAGGAATTTTCAATTTCTAATAAATACACAACATCATTCATCATACATTCGATTATCCGGATTTTAAATTATCCGAATGCATATCGACGACAATAAGTCCGGTTAATCAAGGCTCTACTGCAAATAAAATAAATGCTACATACCAAATCATCCTGTCTGACATCGCAAGCATCGTCCAAAGGTTCCTGTTCGGGCTGACTAGGATTCAGTGAATACACAAACCACCAAAGTAAGTCGTGCAGGCAACTCGGCTGAGACACCGATCTTAATAACCAGTTCATTGCCTAAAAATAAAAAAATATATAATAAAAATTATATTTTATCAAAACACCGTCCCATAACTGATCAAGATCTATTGATGTGAAAATATTTTTGAAGTAAAACTTCTTTAGGCGCGACGAAGGTGTAAATAGGTACAAATGCAACGGAAATTGCGCTACGCCCGAACTGTTCGTCATTCGCTCTCGATGAAATCAAATCATTGCTGGAACTTCCCGCACCGTTATGAAATATTCGAGATCAATACGGGTCGATTGTTTTTAGTCGTCGTGTATGTGAATAGAGATCTGTCATTGTATCGGTACCGGCATCAACGTTGTATGCGTACCGATATCAACAAGACAAATAAACATAGATAAATAAACATAGATAAATAAACATTTCAAAGTCACATCGTTGTACAAATCTTGAATTAATGAAAAATGCCTGAGTCAGAAGAATATTTTACCCTGTTCCTTGAAAATAATAAAACAAATTAAACATTTGAACCGTGTACTAAACGTAAGTTTATTGATTGGAAATTATTTCTACATTATTCGCAGTTTTTATAAATCTTTGAAGTTATTAAAATGGAAAATATTTTTAGGCAAGACAGATATTATAGCTGTTCAAAGAATGAGACTGTATCGCCGGCGAAAAAGTAAAAAATACAACCAGTTAATGTATGTTAATTTTAATTACATGAAGTTCTTCAAACACAGTTACATGATGAGTGAAGTTGCGAAAACAATATTTGTTTAGGCGTCGTTTATCATAATCCAATGTGTGGACGAATATTATAGAACTTATTAATCAGCAATTACTTCATTTCTCTAATGAAGGTTCATTTCTGAATGCTAATTACAATGATAAACTGATCATGTCATATTGGAAGTATGACTTTATAGACATTATTGTTTTTGAATATTATACAAATTTTTAATGCTATTGTAAATATATAATTTATAATTTACCTTTATATAAATGTGTATAATGATTGACTCTAATAAATATGTGCATCGCGAGTGTTATCATATTACTAATAAACATTATTCAAAATTGTTATATGATGGATTTGTTTTTAACTTAAATGCCATCTCGTACAGTAGCAAATAAGTTTTACTTTTTTTCCTTTACCTGTAAAGCATATATCCGACAAGTAGCCTTCCTAATGGCCTGCTTCATAGCCAATCTGAGCAGGTTCAAATCGTGGTTTTGCACCAGGAAGGTCATCGTAGGTCTATTCCAAATATGATTAGGATCATTAAAAGTGTCTTCGGGGTCTGAAGATGGTAAACCACTTGTTGCTGTTCCTTCGGGAACCAGTCGTTGAAGGTTTGGTGAAGGGTAGCATAAAAGCGAAGAACCTGCATCTAGGGAAAATAATCATATTTAATAAAAAATTATTATAAGCTAGTATTCTTTACTCAATCAGTCATTTTGACCGTGCTTCATGACCAAAATGGTTTTTGTATTAATTCAAATACTATGTTAAGGGTAGTCAATGAACCAAAGATGAATAGAAATGATTGAGATTGGTTATAATATCATTAAATAAACTAGTTGGTATTGCTATTTAGCCTTGAGGCAAGTTACATAAACTTCCCGATATGTGTAAATAATCGACTTAATCAATAAAACATAAATTAATTTATGAGTCATTAAAAGTATTCCGAGTGGATTTATTACACATAATTGACAATGTCGGAGTATTTTCTAAAAGCAAATTTTCACAAATCAATAATTTTTATAATTGAACCAGTTTTCGTAGGACGTTAATGGTTTAGTTTTAGTATGTTCATTAAGACCAAGTAATCTACCGTTATACCAAGTAAATCATCTAATTTTAATTTTAACAAACGTCAACAAAACTACTCATTTTCTCAAATTTTGATGAATTTTCAAAATTAAACTACTTGTCGTAGGACCGTAATATTTCAGTAAGTTTTATAAGACCATGATATATACCGCCAAAAAAGTTCCATAAAAATCGGCTCCAATTTTTTTTTAACATTTAATTACAAGAAAACGGCTCGGTAGATTTTCACCTAAAACTAATCAGTATCATTCTCAACTAATATCTTTCGAACAGTTTTTGATTTTTGAAAATCGATTCAGTAGAATGAGCTTAAATTTGGACGAAAAGTTTAACACTTTTTTCCAAATTACAAAGAAACGACTCGGCCGATCGTCTCACAAAACTGACAAACTATAGTGTTCACTGAGATACATCAAATGGCTTTTAAATTTATGAAATCGGTTCAGGCGTTTTTGAGAAAACGTCGATGAAAGGTCTTATTTTGACAAATAAAAAAAAAACGACAAATATAAAAAACGATACCAATTTTAGCAAATTTTGATGAATTTTTAAAGCCAAACGAGTTGTTGTAAGGCGGTAGTATGATCTAGAAGACTATGGTATCTACCATCAAAAAAAAGAATCATAAAAATCGTCGTTTTTTTTTTAACTTTATTACAAGAAAACGGCCTGGCCGATCTCTACCAAAAACTAATCAGCTCAATTCCCAACTAATATCTTTCGAACGGTTTTTGAATTTTCAAAATCGATTTAGATTAGCGGGCTAAAACGTGGACGAAAAATTTCTCACTTTTCTGCTATTTATAAAGAAACGGTCTGGCCGATCCTCGCACAAAACTGACAAACAATAGTTTTCATCGAGATACATCGAATGGCTTTTAAATTTTTGAAATCGGTCGAGCCGTTTTTAAGAAAACATCGATTTACGGCAAAAAATCTGTTCACACACACACATACATACTTTTTACAAATTTGGTCTCATTTGATTCAGAATGGCTTGAAACGTCGAGAAAACATAAAATTAGCAAATCGGATTTTTTTATGAAAACAAACTTCTCCTTCGGGAAGTTAATTAATTAGTACTAATTTTGTTAAAGTTTTTTTAGGGACCGTACCAAAATTTCTAATTTTTAAACTTCACTTATACGGTTCGAACATATTTCAAAATTTTCAGATCTTTTATTTTAATTTTCAAAAAAACACAAAGTTTTATACTTCAAATATGAATTTCAAATTTACAATTCATTTTGAAAATGTATATATATATATATTCCAAATGCGTAATCTAATCGTAAGAAATATATCCTCAGATGGATTCATTCCGACTTCTTGCTAATGTAAACTTTCTCAAGTGTTTTGAGCGATAAGATCGTCACTGTATAATTTATAAACATTAAAATATATAGTGATTATAATTATCTATTTGAAAATGTATAAAACAATTGTTGTAGATCATTGATCAATATTTATTGATTACTGAGTTTTTTCCTCGAATATTTCATCACGGTACGAGAAGTTCCAGCAATTTGCCTTGAGGCACGATGCCATACACCACTAGTTTTAATACATCATTATCAATCTCATTTTATTACCGTTGTTCATTTCTCCTCCGCTATAATTCCTCTTCCTCAGAACGACGCCTGCTCCTCGCATCGGAGTAGGTCCCTGACCTCCTCCGCCTATCGGCACGTTGCTCCCTGAAGACTGTCCTGCTTCTTGTCCTAAAACGCCTCCTAGACCCATCGAAACTGATCGATGGAACCTCGAATTGTTCGACTGCTGGGCGGCGTATTGCTGCTGCTGCTGCAGGTGGAAGTCGGGAGAAGCGAAGTCGTAGTCGGAAGGTATGGCTTCGGATAGAGGCTGGAGGAAAAAAATTAAGTAGAATTATAAAATGTAAAAGTAAGAAATTTATTGTGTTAATTTTTATTTTGCAATCTGTATATATATATTATTATAACGGGTGGTCCATCTAGTGGTCCTAGTGATCTAGTAATCTTACGGTTTAGATATTTCTGTAAAGAAAACATATAGAGTATTATACATCGTTAGAAAGGTCTCAAAATACTTAGGTTTTTTCCCATATATCGCAACTTCGAATTCTTAACGGTGTGGCCTACAGGCAAATTGATATCGATAAATTCCAAATTTTAAATGGGCTACCCTATATTATGCAGACAATGCTGACAAGTATATGGTAAAAAAAGTTGATTACAAATTAGTATATACACCCAGTGGAAGATATTCTAGATCCTTCCCCCACAAAGTAATGCCTAATAGCGGTTTCCGTGGAGACCAGAGGCAAAGACAAAGCGGAGGTTTTAGACGGTATTATACCAGGGCGGTATTGAGTCCGACATACCCAGACAAAAGACCTAGTTTGAGACCTAGTTCAGTTTTCAGTTTCCGACGTTGCTAGGCAATGATTTAGACAGAAATTAAGTTAAGGACACTGCCGTTGTGAGGAGAGAGCTTAAACGTGAAATCTGGCTGGCAAGATCGTAAATTATGATTTCTCATATCGTTGCTAGGTCACATATTTTACGGCATGCACTAATCAGGAAATCTGGACAAGACATAAATCTAGGACATAGATTTTAATAAATATAAAGACAAATCAATCAACCGAATTATACGATTTCATTCGATTCAAATGACTCATTCGACTTCAATTTCAATTCAATTTCAATTTTGATCTAAAATATGGAGAATAAATGAAAAAAGAGCTCTACTGACGAGCAAACTTTTAAAATTTTGATCTAGAAGCAATTTTGATATAAATCAAAAAAGGACACTACTGATGAGCAAACTTTAATTTTAGTCTAAAAAATGGAAAAAAGGAACTCTACTATGACAAGTAGAATAATTTTGATATAAATAAAAAAAGGGACTTCAATCTTGATCTAGAAGATGAAGGAGACTCTACTGGTAAGAGAATCAAATTCTAAAATAGAAGATGAAAAAGAAACTCTACCGTCAAAAAAACTTTATTTTTGATTTAGAAGATGAAAAAAAGGACTCTACGAACAAGAAAACTTCAATTTTGATCTAGAAGATGAAAAAAAGAAATTCTACTGACTAGCAAACATTAATTTAGATCTAGAAGATGGAAAAGGGACTCTACTGACGAGCAAACTTAATTTTGATCTAGAAGGTGGCAAAAGGGATTCTACTGCGAGCAAATTAAATTGCAAACTATATGCTGAAAAAAACTCTACCGACCACGAGCAAACTTTAATTTTATTTTTAGAAAATAAAATAGGACTCTACCGACGAGAAAATTAAAGCATGATCTAAGAAATAAAAAAAGAAAATTTATCAATAAATAAATAGAACTGCAAACTAGAAGATTAAAAAATTTTACTGGGCAGCAAATTATGATCTTGATCTAGAAGATCAAAAAAATGGATTCTACTGATAACCAAATAAAATATAAACCTAGAAAATTAAATGAACTTACTGACGAGCAATCTTAATTTCTACTAGAAAAGAGCAAAATAAATTGAAAACTAGAAAATGAAAAAGAAACTACAGGCGAGCAAACTTTAATTTTGGTCTAAAAAATAAAAAAGGACTCTACTGACGAGCAACTTTAATTTTAATCTAGAAGATGAAAACGGGCTCTACTGACAAGCAAACTTTAATTTTGACCAAAAAGTCAAAATTTGATCTAGAAATGAAATGAAAGGTAAATTTTAATTCAACTTAAAGGATGTAAAAGGTACTCTCCTGACGAGCAAATTGAATGAAAATCTAGTATATGATTCAACAAATTTTGAGTCAGCACATCACTATTATAAGCTTATTTCATTCAATAATATAGTTTCAACCAACGGCACTACTTTAAATTATTTTGGATGTACGATTTCAAAATTATAATTTATGGACCAATGTTATGGCAAAGCTATGTTATGAAGAACTTTCCATACTGAATATTGTCAAAAGTCTTGCGGTTGCTGTGCAGTCAGGCGCATTTCTCAGGTTGTCAGATAGTAAAACTAAACATAGAAACCGCACAAATGTCAAAAAACGATGCTAGATAACAGGGTGTTTCTGACTCAGCTTCATAACATACGAGTGACATTGCAGTTTGTGTGTAAAACACTTGAATGCACAGCAAACACATGATATTTTGACAGTATTCAGTATTATTCAGTAGCATAATGTATGCAAGTTAGAGCGTGATGTTCACGCCAAAATCAAAGCATGTCATATATTGATATAAAAAACAAAGATATCAAATCAAAAATCAACACAAAATTAAATCAATCAAAACACTACACAACATCAATCAAACTATAAAAATATTGTAAATACAAATACAAATTGCAGTTAATTTAAAATAAACACATAATATTACAACTAAAGTGTTTTACTACAAATTGGTCCTTCAAAAATCAAATCGAACAAACAAGGGTGTTTCTGACCCAGCTTCAAAACATACGAGTGACATTGCAGTTTCTGTGTAAACTGCCTGAATGAACAGCAATAACATGATGTTTTGACAGTATTCAGTATATCAATCATTAATAGTGCTACATATTTAATCGCAGTACTATAAACAGTACATCAGTTTAAAACATAATTTCACCCTTACCCTCTTCGATAAGCTATCAGGCCCAGTCGAATGCCTCTTATTACTATACAGATCTTCATCCGTACAAAACAGTCCTCCCAAGGCGTCGTCTCCAAATTGTGGCGGCGTATCCCCCGATCCTCCTGCTCCGTTCGCCCCTAAAGCCTGGAGGCACTGGAACGGAGGCAGTGGCGTCCACGGCGACTGATCCGGGGGCGAAACTCCCGTCGCAGCGGAGCAGGGCGAAGCAGAGGCTGCTCCACCTCGTTCTCGCACCGAAGGCAGAGGAGAGTAGCTCGTTTGGGAAAGGCGACGGTTCGATATATTGTGAGTCGCTAAACCTGCAGAGTGAATAAAATGGATTATCTATATATATAACTAGTTGGTTTGGTATTTTGCCTTGAGGCAAGTTACATGAACTTCCCGATATGTGTAATTAATCGACTTAATCAATAAAACATAAATTAATTTATGAGTGATTATAAGTATTCCGAGTGGATTTATTACACATAATTAAAAACGAACAAACACTTTGACTCGGAGTATTTTCTAAAAGCAAATTTTCAAAAATCAATAATTTCAATTAATCAATAATTATAATTGAACCAGTTTCGGTAGGACTTTTAATGGTTTATTATGTTCAAGACCAAATACACTATCTTTATACCAACTAAATCGTCTAATTTTATTTTTAACAAACGTCAAAAAATCTACTCATTTTCTCAAACTTTGATGATTTTTTAAAATTAAACTACTTGTCGTAAGGCCGTAATAATACAGTAAGTTCTATAAGACCGTGATATATATCGCCAAAAAAAGTTCCATGAAAATCGGCATAAAATTTTTTTTCAACAGTTAATTACAAGAAAACGGCTCGGTAGATTTTCACCTAAAACTAATCAGTATCATTCCCAACTAATATCTTTCGAACAGTTTTTGATTTTTTAAAATCGGTTCGGTAGTATGAGCCTAAATGTGGACGAAAGGTTTAACACTTTTTCCCAAATTACAAAGAAACGGCTCGGCCGATCGTCGCACAAAACTGAGAAACAATAATCCTCATGGAGATACATTAAATGCTTTTTAAATTTTTGAAATCGGTCCAGCCGTTTTCCAGAAAACGTCGATTTACGGCAAAAAATCTGTTCACATACACGCACACACACACATACACACAGACGCATACTTTTCCTTTAAATTTGGTCTCATTCGATTCAGAATGGCTTAAAACGTCGAGAAAACATAAAATTAGCAATTCGGATTTTTTTATGAAAACATAAACTTCTCCTTCGGGAAGTTAAAAAGGATCGCTTAAGTTAGAACACTTATAACTCACGAACGGCTGAACCGATTTAGATGAAAATTGGCAGGGAGGTAGTTTAGAACCAGGAGAAACATATGTGATACTTTTTGTCCTGGTTTTTCATTTCCAATTCAAAATTAATTATTTATAAACTATCCATTTAGTTTATGACATTTACTTTCAATTGTCTTCAATTCAATTCGGTGTTTTTGTTTTGATACAAATATATTAACATGCATTTTTAACTCCCGAAGGAGAAGTTTATGTTTTCATCAAAAAATCCGATTCGCTAATTTTATGTTTCCTCGACCCTTCAAGCCATTCTGAATCGAATGAGACCAAATTTGGAAAAAGTATGTGTGTGTGTGCGTGTATGTGAACAGTTTTTTTGCCGTAAATCGACGTTTTCTCGAAAACGGCTGGGCCGATTTCAAAAATTTAAAAGTCATTCGATGTATCTCGACGAGGACTATCGTTTGTCAGTTTTGTGGGACGATCGGCCGAGACGTTTCTTTATAAATAGTAGAAAAGTGAAAAATTTTTCGTTTACGTTTTAGCCCGCAATTCTGAACCCATTAAGAAAATTCAAAAGCCGTTCAAAAGATATTGATTGGGAATCGTGCTGATTAGTTTTTGGTAAAGATCGGCCGGGCCGTTTTCTTGTAATAGAGTGTTAAAAAAAATTTATTCGACGATTTTTGTTATTATTTTTTTGACGGTAGATACTATAGTCTTCTAGATCATACTAAAATATTACGGCCCTACGACAAATGGTTTAACTTTGAAAATTCGTCAAAGTTTGCAAAAATTCGTATCGTTTTTTTGGCATTTGTCAAAATTAGACCTTTCATAGACGTTTTCTCAAAACGCCTGAACCGATTTCAGAAATTTAACAACCACTTGATGTATTTCGATGAGGACTATCGTTTGTCAGTTTTGTGCGACTTATAGTTACTCCGCCTATAGGGTAAAAAGGTCTAGATAACAAATTTTTGAAAGACAGCAAAAAAGCACATTTTTACAATGATGAAGTAGCTGGTAGTTTTACTGAAAGTAGTCAGATAAGTATTCGTTTGAAATGTGTCATTTGTTGTGATAAAATTGGTTTGATTTTCATAATAAAATTTATATTTGCTCAAACTCAAATTGGACCTTTGTACCTTGCCCTGCTCTACGTATATTCTTTTTATTAAATTCACTTTAATTCATAATATGTTACTTAAAACTTTTCAAAAAGCAGGTCAAAGCAGATATATCTAATTCATTTTCTATCTCTCCTCGCAGAAATTTGAAAAATTTGTATAAGCTCAGTAGTATTATCTACAATTATACACAAAATTCAAAATCCAAAAAGAATCTGAAAAACTTGAAACGTAATAAGTAAGTCGAAAGACCAAAAAAAACTTGGATTGGATTATACCATGATTTCTATAGAAAGTGTATAAAACTTCCAGTTTGATTGTATTGACAGAATATAGACGAACTAATGGGATTTACTGTTTTTATAATACCTTATTGTATATAGCATTCAAACAACACATCCTTATACACTTAAGGGGGTCTTCCTATGTGATGGGTTGAAAAAATCGATTTTTTTTTCATAAATTGCTCCCTTAACATGTCTAGAATACGGTAGTAAACCGATTTTAGAAAATTCGAAGTCGTTTTAAAGATACAGCAGGTAAAAGAAAGAGCGGTTCTTAATAGTTTTCAACGGACTTGAAACAAACGCGTTTTTCTCAAAACTGTGTTTTTCAAACTTTCCTCCATTGTATCTTAGAAACGGCTGGACCGAATTACTTGAAATTTACAGGGCACACTCAATATATTTAAACGCATGCAATGAACTATTAATTTTCAAAACTTCGATTTTTTTTTAGCAAAAAACAAAAAAAAACGCCTAATTTGCAACTTTTATTTCAAATGTCTATCAAAAATCCAATTTTTTTATATTCATTTGATTATAGGTTATTGCGTGCTTTTAAGCTTTAAACAAATTAAAACGCCCTTTAATTTTTTGCTCCAGATAAGCCGATCAGCCGGAATCGTGGAGGAAGTGGGAGCTCTTTTTTTTAGGCGGGGGTGTTCAGAGCGCTGTAACTCTAGTTTGACTGAATATTTTAGCTGAAACTTTGTATTTATACTGTCCAAATATGTGTTAATAAATGATAAAAAACCTGAAGCTCTAAATATTTACTGGTCGTAGAAAAAAAATCCTAAAATATCCCTAAAAAACAGGCCGTCACATAGGAAGACCCCCTTATAGTATTAATATTTTTGATTCTCTAGAAATTGTTTAGAATATACAATACTTAGCAAAACAACGTTTGCCGGGTCAGCTAGTTAATAATAAGTAAAATTATTCTATTTTATCCTACCAGTGTTAGCAGCCGACGCCAGTTCCAGCAAAAACATCGCGTTTTGTTTTATCATCTCGTGCAATTCTGTTCCGGAGCAGACGACTGGTGAAAGGGCGTGTCTGGCATACAATTTGCGATCGGCCATTTGGAGATCGGCACCTGGGGTAATGGAATTTTGAATTTAAACAAAAAAGACGTATCACAAATTTTTTTGTAAGTTTAGTAATAATCGTACTGTTGTTGTCAGTGGTTCTTGTTTTGTATGCAGGATGCAACATGTCTGTTCCAGATGCATTTGTGTTCGAAGTCGATTCTGGTAAGGAGGCAATGTAGAGGTATCGTTCGCGACAGGAATCGCACAGGAGGTACCAGGAACTGCCTTCTGGAATAAAAAATAAGAACTTGTTAACATTTTTAATTTTGCAATTTTTTTGATATTGCTCAATGCAGCAAAAACACAGTTGTATTATTACTGGCTGTATCTGCATCCACGTGAAATTTGTCAAATAAAATTGAATTTTTATTATAATTGCCATTTTTTCCAGCTTTTTTTATTTTAGTGTCATTAAAAATTGTCTCTATATACTATAAATGGTGTACGATTTATTTCTTGGTCTAATACAACGCTTTTGTTAAATTCCCATAACCCGTAGGGTAAGTTATTGCAATGATCCAAAAATCGAAATTGAAAACTTTTGCATTTCTTTACGATTTGAATGGATCAAAAAACATTTGATTCATAAATAGATTAATATGGTTTTCATTTCTAGTTTTACAAAATTTTAAACATTGCCTAATGTAGCAAGAATACAGATTTGTATTATTATTAGCTTAATCTGGCGTTCGCGTAAAATCCAGCAGTTTTTTTTTTAATTTTTATTTTAATTACCATTTAATTCCAGTTTTTTCATTAGCTCCATTGAAATGTTTATTAAAAATATTTTACTATAATGTTTATTATTAAATATCATATATGTGTTGTACGGTTTCTTGAGCTAATCAATAGCACTTTTCTCATTTGACGTTTTTTTAATTATAACTAATAATGAAAAAATAAAATTTAAAAAATGAAAAATACACAAATACTAGATAGATATTATTTTAAGAAAAAGACAACTAGCAGTTCTAATGTAAATCTAAATATTGAATAAAAATGAACTTAAATATTAAATTACACAAACGAAAAAACAACATATTGTGAAGATAAAATGCAAAAATGAATTCGTTCGTCAGTAGAGTTCTTTTTTAATAATGAAAAATGTCTGATTTTTTTGTTTAGTAAAGTTTTTTTTAAAAAAGTCTGAATTTGCATGTCAGTAGACTTGTTTTTTTCTTAAAAAATATCTAAATTTGCTCGTTGGTAGAGTTCTTTTTTAAAAAAAGCCTGTAGGGTTCTTTTCATCTAAATGTTAGAATTTCCTTGTCAGTAGAATTCTTTTATTTTCTTATAAATGCTTGAATTTGCTTTTCAGTAGTTATTTTTTTGTAGATGTCAGATTTTGCTCGTCAGTAGAGTTCTTTTTTTTCTAAAAATGACAGATTTTGCTTGTCAGTAGAGTTCTTTTTTTTTTCTAAAAATGCCAGAATTTGCTTGTCAGTAGAGACCCTTTTTCTCTAAAGAGTCTAAATTTGCTCGCCTGTAAAGTTCTTTATTTTAAAAATATATCTGAATTTGCTCGTCAGTAGAGTTCAATTTTTTAAAAAAAAATTAATGCCTAAATTTGCTCGTTAGTAGAGTTCCTTTTTTATAATAAAAAATATCTGAATTTGCTCGTTAGTAAAGTCCTTTTTTCTCTAAAAAAAATCTGAATTTGCTCGCCTGTACAGCTCTTTATTTTAAAACTATATCTGAATTTGCTCGTCAGTAGAATTTCTTTTTTATGATAAAAATATCTGTATTTGCTCGTCAGTAGAATTCTTATTTTATAATAATAAATATCTGAATTCGCTCGTCAGCTCGAGTTTTTTATTTTTAAAAAACGTTTAAAGTTGCTCGTCAGTAGAGTTTTTCTTTTCTAAAAATGTTTGAATTTGCTCATCAGTAGAGTTTATTAGAATGCCCGAATGTTCTTTTTTCGTTTGCTCGTCAGTAGAGTTGTTTTCTTTTGTCAGTAGAGTCTCTTTGCTCTTTACATTTCTCACTAATATTTTTGCCCAGTTCTAATTTATTTTGCGTCAGTAGAGTCCCTTTTCTCAAAATCTTTATTTACTAGTCATTATAGTCCAAGCATTTTTACTAATGTTTTGCTCATCAGTAGAGTCTTTTTTCATTTTGTTAGATCAAAAAAATTTTAATTTTTAGCATGTAATTTAATATACTCCTCAGTATACTTCCTTTTTTCATATTCTAGATCAAAATTAAGCAATACTTCTGCTGCAGTAATATTTTAGTAGCATTTGGCATTCTAACTGTTCAGGTCGATAGTACCTTTTATCAGTAAATCGATATCATTGTGATTTCCGTACCAAAATAAAGTTTAATTTACAAGTTCTGCAAGACATACAGTTTACGAATTTATTGGAAAACACTTCCAGAATTAATACAAAATGATTGGCAATACAAAAATTATTGGCAATTATAGTAAAAATGGTAAAAAACTTCTCTCTTAAATTCGACACGGACAAAGAACCAAGTACAGCTACTATAACATAAATTCAATATTATACAAAAAGATCTTTTTTTCAAAATATAATATCTTTTATTTTACCTGTACCCCCGTCTCCGCAATTGCCTGCCCATCCTCTGCAATAGTGTCCTGCCGAATTGTAACCGCGTCCATCTGCCGGTCTGGTGCAACCAGGATGTTCGGCTCGCATGTGCCTGGTTATCGACATTCCTGGAGCAAGCAGGGCCTCCGATTTAGGAGGACATAGCTCGCAAGTCGGCTTGGGGAAACCGGTGCGGAAGTCGACTGTTGCGTCATCTGGAAAAGAAACATAAGTGTAAGTTCCACTTCATCTTAAGGAAAATTAACAAAACTTCAGTATATCAAAAGCGTGGTAATTATGAATAATAAAACCGGTAAATTCACATCTAAGAAGTGTTGTCCAATTAATAAAGATGTCGAACATCCTTAGCATTAATAAAAAATTCTTAAGTCTTAAGCAAAGTAGGTGAAAGCGTGGTTTTACTACTAATATTTCTAATTATTATCTTACCTATTGGTGATGTCTTCTTAAAGAACTTTCTCAATTTGGCGCTTTTTCCTGAGGTGGATTTCATCTCCTTGGCCAATCTGGCGCGTTCGTTGTTAAACCGATTAGAATCCTTAGCTGCTGCTGCAGCAGAGCTGTTATTGCTAGAATTGTTGTAACCGCTGTTGACGTAGGACGCCTGCGCCTTTTGCGTGTTCGGAGGCGACATAGAAGGCATTGCAGGCCTAGAAATAGAAGGTTATAAATTAGATTGGCAAACTAAGTAAGTGCAAAATTTGTGCTAGTAAAATATGACAAAATAATTTGATTAAATGTTTTGTCTATAAGGAGAATTCATTTTTAAAAAAAAAAATCTTCATTTACTAGTCAGTATAGTCCAATCCTTTCGAGTTCAAGTTAACTTATATTTTTATGTTTATAACTAGATGACCCGACAGACGTTGTCCTGTACCCATGTCTGCAATTTTATAATATGAAATAATAATTTTTACCGTTTACCTAAAAATAATAATTATTGTTTTTTAAATTACTCTTCACGCCAAAATGATTAAACATTTATAATATGAGCTATGTTAAATGTAGAACTGCTTTAAATAAAATTATGTGTTTCAATTCCCACACTATATTGGAATTGATGTATTTTAAAAGGTATAACATAACCATAACCACAACATAACACTGGTACTTCATGTTGGATTGAATCAATTTAATTTTTTATTATTTAAGATATCTAAAATTGCATCTTAAACTTCTCCTAATCGATATGGTAAGGGGCGAATTGTATGTATTCATCTTTACTTTCTCATTTGTTGTTATAAAGTGAAATTTTTACGAATTTTAAAAATATTGTGCAAAGATTAGTGTAAGATGCAAAGAATAATAATCAATATTAATCTTAATATTGAAAAAAAAAACTATATTAAATATTTAATATCCGAATCTAGTATTGGCGCCCCCTAAGGCGTGCGCTCGTATTTTTCGCATGCAAGGCATTAAAGGTAGAACCGGCCCTGATTAATACTTAATTTCATATCTTAAGTGAATTAATTTTTCATATCCTGTTTATATGTGTATCATTCAATCTGCCATGCACATACTGTATCTTATATTATTTTAATTTCTGGCACATCTCAGCTGCTTTTTGGCAATAATAATGTAGACATTTCATTTTTCTTATTCATAATCATAAATTTATTATACATATTCTAATATGTTTTTGATTCATAATTAAATTTAAATTTTTGGCAGATGCTAGTTTTCATTTGTTTTCAATACAAACAATGACACGTCGTTTTTTGCATTTTTTTCATTTATTTCTACAATATTGCACATACATACCAGTACTTTATAATCACATACATCCTAGAAAATTTCCTTAACAAACTTCAGAAAGATTAATCAAAATCCGAAAAATCATTTAGAAGGAGTATACAGTGAGTGTTTGTAATATAATATGAACTTTATATAATAGCAATAAAGCTCAAATTGATTCTACGTTTTAGTTAGAAAACGTTTGTATGAGAAAAAGAAAAGGGCTGTTTTTAGGGTTTTTATTCGATTTTTTCTCGCCGTAAGAACCATCCTTGGACTTCAACGAACATTTTAAAAAAAGAATTGGCCAAATTGGTCCAGGCGTTGTTGAGTTATGCGCTTACCAACACATTTTGCGATTCATTTTTATATATAAGATATATATTTTATTTTTTATTAACATTTATAAAATAGTTAATAACTTACCTGGTAATACTGGGACTCTCAAGTACTCTGAATTCGGTCATGTAATTCTTACTGAGCTGCTCCCAAAGTAAAACAATGGATCTGAGTGCCGGTGGTAAAACTGACACCATTTCTGGTAAACTTGATAATTTATTTGAAGCAGATGTGCCTGCCACTTCTTCTTTGATAACCTGCAAATGGAAAAAAAATCTTGAAAAACATATTTAGAAAACAAAATAATTTAATAAAAAATATACATAGCCACGCACTGATTTACAACATCCACAATAGTTTCTATATTCAATAAATATTTTGTTAAACAATTTCTTATAATTATAAACTTTTAGCTATGGCACCGTGCCTTAAGGCAAATTACTGGAACTTCCCGTATCGTAATGAAATATTCGAGATTTTTTAAACGTTTTCAAATATATTATTACAAATACTGTAACTTTCATTATTTCTGCTATCTTTGTTATATCCGAGCAAATCAAATGTAAATTATAAATAAATCAATTTATCTCCAGAACATTAACAATCGTCATTTCATTTTGAATTCAATTTCAAAAAAATAGTTGCCTCTAATTTACACAAAATTAAAAAAGTGCTCCCGCTTAGTCACAGTCTCAACGCATTTGCAAATAATTCTGTGCGACATTTTCACTTATACTGTGCTTAGCTTGGCGGCATTTTCACATTTTTCAATAGTGTTCACAAAATTGAAAAAGCGCTCCTGTAAAGTCATAATCTAAATGCACTTGCAAAACATTTGTACCCGGTTGACGCTTAGACTGTGCTTAGTCCGGGTAATTTTTAGAATTTTTAACCCGAAATTGCATTTCTTTTATTTTATATAAATTTGGAAAAGTGCTCCAAACAGAAACAGTCTAAACGCACTTGCGAAAACTTTTGCACCAAGTTGTCACATATAATTAGACTGTGCTAAGTCTGGGTGATTTTTTGGATTTTTACTAAAAATTATATTGAATTATATTAAATTAAAAATTGTCACTTAGATTGTGCTTAGTATGGATAACTCTTAAAATTTTTAACTCTAAATAAATTACATTTATATAAGAAACAATCTAAACGCACTTGCGAAAACATTTGAATCAAGATGTCGCTTAGACTGTACTTAGCCTGGGTAGTTTTTGTAGCTTTTAACCCGAAAATACATTTCTGTAATTAACATAAAATTAGGAAAGTGCTGTTTCTTCATAATTTATAGAATGTTACAATTAATAATCGAATAATTTTCGATATTAAAAAAAAATTGAAAACTAAACAAAAAAATTAAAATAACTAGTGGTGTATGGCATCGTGCCTTAAGGCAAATTGCTGGAACTTCCCGTACCAAATTATTTAATTTTGATAATCCAAATTAATTTCGATATTCAAAAAATAAATAAGTAAATAAATTCTTTCCCCAGATTGTTATGTCAATACAAGCAGAAAGTTTTTTTGAATCATTCAAATTGGAAACTCCGTTCTAACAAAAACTCGATTTTCTGCACTCTTTGCTCCGTATGTCCGTAACGGCTAGATCTGCCTTTGCCAAAAACTAATCAGCACATCTCCTTATCAAGAGGAATCGAATGTTTTTTGAACCATTCAAATCGGTTGATCCGTGCGCCCGAAATCGTGGACAAAAAATGCGGACAAAAAATGCTGACATACAAAACAAACACACACACATACACATCTATTTTTTCTGAGGTATGCCAGTAAAATGTTCAGAAGTCTTCAAAACGTCGAGAAATGTAAAAAATTTCAATTCCGATTTTCGGCCCATTACAATAACTCACCCTACGGAAAGTTAAAAAATAGTTGCCTTGCCATTCACATTTTTCAATAGTTTTCACAAAATTCGAAAAGTGCTCCAGTACAGAAACGGTCTAAACGCACTTGGGTAAGCATTTGTACCAGAGTGGCGCTTAGACTGTGCTTAGCCTGGGTGATTTTTTGAATTTTTCAATCCAAAATTACAAAAATATTTTATGGAAAATAAAAAAGATGTAATAATTTTATCCTCAAAAGCAATTGTTTTGTCAATACAAGCAGAAAGTTTTTTAGATCATTCAAATCGGACGCTTAGTTCACTCGAAAATTGCCATTTTTTGCACATTTAGCTCTGTAATAAAATATTAGGTTGTCAAATATCTCCCTTCCGCTTTTTTGCTCTTGGTTTATAATACAAAAAGGCGGAAGGGAGATATTTGACAACCTAATATAAAGCAAAATAAGTTAAGTTATGTATAACTAAATCATAAGTAAATAAATTAGTGAAACAAATAAGTCAACAAGAGTTTCATTATAAACCCAATTTTATATTTATGGGAAATGTCCTACCATTAAAAATTCCTCACCCCACTTACCTCTCCATTATTCTGACCATAGCATTAGCCTGCTGCGGATTACTATTCTTCCTAGATCCCCTATTGCTCCTATTAGCAGCCGCATTGGCGGCGCTCCTCGTCAACGCATCTAAAGCACCAGGCTGAATCTGACTGAGTCCATAATATCCCGCTCCTGCTCCTGCTCCGCCGCCTATGGTCACCTCTGCGGCGCTATGGCGCTGCCGAGCGCGTTCCTCCTTCGTCAGCTGTCTTGCCTGAGCCGAATTCGGTGTTGCCTGATTGGGCGAAGGATAACCGGGCGTCTGATTTGCGAACTGAAGCGGCCGAATTGGCACCAGAGCGCCCTCTTTGGGAAGAGAGGGATGGAATTTGAGGAAAGAGGCGCAGGCCATGGCGTCGTGGACGATACCTGGGATAGAAGATTGATTTAGTGATGAATTAGTGGTGTATGGCATCGTGCCTTAAGGCAAATTGATAAGAGTTAAATATTCGAGGGAAAAAATCAGTAAATCAAATCAAATCAATGAAAATTGATCAATGATTTACAACAATTGTTTTATACATTTTCAAATAGATAATTATAATCACTATATATTTTATCGTTCATAAAATACATATAGACGATCTGATCGCTCAAAGCACTTGAGAAAGTTTACATTAGCAAAAGGTGCCGAATAAATCCATCTGAGGATATATTTATTATGATTAGAATCCTGATTTGAACCCGCATTTGAAATATAGGGTATGCCATCTTACATTTTTCATTTTCATTTTTTTTCAACCGTCAGCCGAGGCTTTTTTTTTCATCCAATTATTATAATCATTATTAACTGAATTAATTTCATCATTAACTGAAAGAATTGTACTTTCAAATAAAAAAAAAAATTTGAAAAAATATACATTAGTTTTCCAAAAAAAAATATTTGGCGGACCCTATATATACATTTCCAATCTGTATTGTAAATTTAAAATTCATATTTGAAGTACAAACTTCCCAGTAGAAATGTATCGTGGCCACAGGGGTAAGAAAACGTGGTGCAATTTTCAAATCTTGTTTTTAGATGAAACGGACAATATTTGTTTTCAAAATTATGTAAAATTTCATTTTTTTGGAAGGCCTGTTTATATGGTTTATTACAAATAATAAACATGTTTCCCATCTGATGTACAATTCTAATTTTATATTTACACGAATTATACATAATTTTTAAATGTGGTGCAAAATGGAAGCTTTTTGTGGACAACCAAGATTTGTTTCTTCAGTATTATCGAACTTGGGAAGAATACATGGTATTTATAAGGGTCTTAAAAGTAAATTAACTTTAAATAATCAATTAGCATCAAAAATATGATTAAAGATTTTAAAAGTCAATATTAAAATCAATATGGGCTCCATTGATAAACATATTAAAATCTTATTCAAAACTAATTATAAGCTCAATACTGAAAACCAATATAAGATTAATATAAATGAACAATATTTAACCCAAATCCAAAAATATTATTTAACCCACAATTAAAAATATTATTTAATTTATATAGAAAAACAGTATTTAACTCATTGATAATATCTTAGCTAATACATACAGCCAATTATTGATCAGCTCGATCGTAATTAAGAGTTTGATATAAATTTTATATATAATAAATTCAATGTAATTTGTGAATATTATATTAAGATAAATATTATTAACTTCCGTAGGGTAAGTTATAGTAATGAAAATCGAAAATGAAAATTTTTGCATTTCTCGACGTTTTGACGGTTTCTGGACATTTTGGCATACCTCAGAAAAAATGGATGTGGGTGTGTATGTGTGCGTGTGTGTGGAGATATGAGCTGATTAGTTTTTGGCAAAGGCAGGTCCAGCCATTACGGAGATACGGAGTGCCGAATATACAAATCGAGTTTTTGAGAGAACGGAGTATCGGATCTGAATGATCTAAAAAACATTCAATTTGTAATGATTGGGAGAAGAGGTGATTACTTTTTGTCAAAGACAGGTCCCGCCATTTCGAAGATACAGAGCTAAATGTGCAAAAAATGGTAGTTTTTGAGTGAACTAAGCGTTCGAATTAAATGATCTAAAAAACTTTCTGCTTGTATTGACAAAACAATTGCTTTTGAGGATAAAAATTATTACATCTTTTTTTATTTTCCATAGAATATTTTTGTAATTTTGGATTAATCAAACAATTTCCCAGGCACAGTCTAAGCGCTATTCTGGTACAAATGTTTAGCCAAGTGCGTTTAGACTGTTTATATACCGGAGCACTTTTTCAATTTTGTGCAAATTAGGCAACTATTTTTTTTTTATATTGAATTCGAAATGGAATGACGATTGTTAATGTTCTGGAGATAAATTGATATATTTATGATTTACATATAATTTGCTCAGATATTACAAGATAGCAAAAATAATGAAAGTTACAGTATTTGTAATGATATATTTGAAAACGTTTAAAATTTCTCGAATATTTCATTACGTTATGGGAAGTTTCAGCAATTTGCCTTAAGGCACGATGCCATACACCACTAGTTTTTACTTTTCTTCAAATCACTTTTAATTTTCATTACGAATATAATAATTTGTTTACATTGGCAAAAACTAGATAAAATTTACTAAAATCCAGTAAAAACTGTTATACACACTTGGATATTAAAATTTTGATTAATTCATAGTTAACATGTTGACTTTCGTATTTTGATAATTAGCAATAACGTATGGATTAATAATATTTTTTACTTCTTTAAAATAACTTTAAATTTTCATTTCGGGCATTAGAATTTGTTTATATTAGCAAAAACTAGATAAAATTTACTAAAATCTACTACACGCACACACACACATACATCTATTTTCTCTAAGGTATGCCAAAATATTCAGAAACCTTTGAAACGTAAAGAGATATACAAATTTCCATTTCCGATTTTTTTGCGATTACTATAACTTGCCCTACGGAAAGTTAATAACATTATATTTCCTCATATTACAATTATCCCTTACCCTCGTGCCACAAAAAGGCTGCGAACATCGCCCTCAAACTCTCAGCCACCGAAGGCGACATGGCCTCCTTCACCGGTTTACTGCCATCGATTTGTGCCTGATTTTCAGTATTAAATTTCCAATTGATGGGTCCTCCAGGAGCACGACTGAAAGTTGTCGATGTGTTAAATGCTGCTGCTGCAGCATCTGAAAAGGCATTGCCGCAGGCTGCCGAAGCTGATGATACGTTGAAGTCGCCTCTGGGGCTGATGGATCTCTTGCCGCGCGATTTGGGCGATGATTGTCTGTGGTGGTTTCTTGAGGCTTTTGGGGACATCGGACCATCCTGGGAAAAGAAATATAATAATGTTATGTGATGTGCAAAATGCCCTAATTAGCATTATGCTGGGTCGATAAAGCCAGGTAGAATAGTAAGAATCACTTGTTAAACCTTAATGAAGATAATTAGTATAATTCTACTGACCATGCTGATACTGATTATGCATACTGATTATGCTGACATTTTTTATATAGAATGGAAGTCTACTAACTAGCAATTTCTGACATTTTGATAAGAAAAAAGATCTCTACTGACGTGAAAAAAACTCTAGCAAATTCTTTTTTTCTATATTTTATTTATAAGTGTCCAGTTAAGTACATTTAGTAAATTTGGAGAATTTATAATTATTTATTATTACATTATTTTTCCAATCCTTTTAATATTAACAGTATTTTAATGATAATGATCTAATCTTAACTGCTCACTTATAAATAATTTCTTATAAATTATGACTAATTTATTTCAATCTTTATGAGGAAAATTGTTGAATTAAATCCAGTGGCCTTCTTGAATAGTTCTAGGTTAATAAGGAGTTTGCTAGTGAATTTGGGTGACTGATGAGCTTGTTTCTATATTTGTGTGCTGTTTTTGTAATTACATCTTTTGTGGTAGATGTGTTCTTGCCCTAAGATAATTTTCAAAAATTTGTATAGCTAATTCTGGCATTTTTTTCTAAAAAAAGACTCCTTGAAGAGCAATTTCTGTCAATTTTAGAAGAAGAAAAAAGAACTTTACTGACGAGCAAATTCTGACATTCTTAGGAAAAAAAGAACTCTACTGACGAGTAAATTCTGACAATTTTAAAAGAAAATGGAACTCTACTGACGGCCAAATACTTTCATTTTTGAAAGAAAATAAGAACTCTACTGACAAGCATATCCTGACTTTTTTTAAAAGAAAAAAGGAACTCTGCTGACGTACAAATTATGGGATCTTTAGACGAAGAAAAAATAACTCTACTGACAAGAAATTACTGAAATTTTAAGATGAAATAAGAACTCTACTGACGAGCAAGTTCTGATATTTTTAGAACAATAAAGAACTCTACTGGTGAGCAAATTTTGTTATTATTCTAAAATAAGGAATTCTACAGACGAGCAAATTCTGGCCTTTTTAGGAGAAAGAAGAACTCTACTGACGAGCAAATTTTGATATTAAAAATGACTCTACTGACTAAGAAATTCTGATATTAAAAAGAACTTTACTGACTTGCAAATTCTGGTTTTTAAGAAGAAAAAAACGAACTCTACTGACGAGCAAGTGATGTCATTTTTAGAAGAAGAATAAAAGACGAGCAAATACTGGCATTTATAGGAGAAAACAAAACTAACTAACTAACATGTTCTAACATTTTTAGAAGAAAAAAGAAACTCTACTGACTAGCAAAGTCTAACATTTTCAAAAAAAAACTCTACTGATGAGCAAATACTGATTTTTTTCTAGAGATAAAAGAAACTTTACTGACGAACACATTTTTTGACAAATTTTGACATTGTTAGAAATAAGGCTACTGATGAGCAAATTCTGACATTTTTTAAAAAAAGGAACTCTACTGACTAGTAAGTTCTGTCATTTTCACTAAAAAAAATAACTCTGCTGACATTTTTAGAAAAAAGAAAGAACTCTACTGATGATGAACAAATTCTAACACTTTTTAAAAGAAAAGGAACTCTACCGACGAGCACATTCTAACATTTTAGGACGAAAAAAGAAGTCTACTGACGAACAAATACTGACTTTTTTTCAAAAAAATATTTCAGCTGGCTCTACGACTCTAGTAAACTGTGACATCTTTGAAAAAAAATAAGTCTACTGATAAGCAAAATAAAAATAAATCAATTAACAAGAGAAAAAATAACAAAAATTGACAAGAGAAAAACATTATATAAAATGAAACGACTATACTGACTTTAGTATTTTGATAATTAGCAGATTATATATTTAGAACACTTTTTTGACTTTTCTTCAAATAACTTTAAATTTTCATTTCGAACATTATAAATTGTTTATAAAAACTAAGTAAAATTTACAAAAATCTCGTAAAAACAACTATATTCACTTGGATATTAAAATTTTGTATAATTCTTAGTTGAAATGCGGACTTCCATAATAATGTATGGATTTATAATATTTTTTACTTTTTTAAAATAACTTTTAATTATAATTTCGAGCATATTGTTTCATATTTTCATAATAAAATAATCGTATTTTCACGTTATTGACACAAATTTGTTGTTTTCACGTTATTGACACAAATATACGTATGCTCACTTTATCACAAATTAAGGCAAGTCAATCAATAAATTGACTTATACTTCGACTCGAATCTTAAAGACAGATTTTCTTTTAGCACTTTAAATCGCAGTTGAATTATAAACGTATGTTGTAATAAAATTATTTGTTGAAATAAAATTTACGTAATCACAAATTTGTACTTACTGCTCCAATCGAAAAATGACTCCTTATGGCAGTATTTGCAGAAACGACATCAGAATTTTCAGGAGATGTCTGGGTACCAGTCTGTGCCAACTTTCTAGGACTATCCATCAAATCCTAACAAAAGGTAAAATAATATAAAAAAGCTGTCAAAATTAACTTAAAAATAACAATAATTCTTCCAAAACAATTTAGTAACGTATACCTAAAAAATAAATTCAGGTATTGAAAACTAAACAACAGAGCTCAAAACCAAAAAGAAGTAAAACCAAAACTAGTGGTGTATGGCATCCTGTCTCAAGGCAAATTGCTGATACTTCCCGTGCCTTAAAGAAATATTCGAGAAATATTAAATGTTTTCGAATAGATTATTATGAATACTGTAACTCTAATTTCATATTTATATTTTATATCTTAAAATATAAGAGCTTATGAATTGGACGACGACGATCATTTAAATCGGATTTAAAATAAAGGACATTGTCTAACATTTATATGCATTACATAAACTGAATTGCCAAGTTAAAATTAATTATTTGAAGTATATAAGTAATGCTTCAAACTTAGGATTTAGAATTTCAGAAGAAAACTAGTGGGGTGCATGGCATTGTGCCTTAAGGCAAATTGCTGGAACTTCCCGTACCGTAACGACGAATATTAAATGTTTTCAAATAGATTATTAAAAATATTGCAATCAAGCAGGCTGGTTTTTGATTTGTAAAAAACAATCGGACATGTCATGTATATTTTTGATATCGAAATATTTTTACAGTTAATAAATTTATATTTTTTTATTATGATGGAAGTTTCTAATTAAATATATTACCATAATCAATACAACTCCCACATTGGTGACTCACGACGATGGAGATGAAGATAAAGGAGTTTTATTTTTCGAAGATTTAAGAAAAATTGATTTTGACGCAGCACCATAATCACTGGTCTTCAGTGACGACCTATAAGGTATGTCCAGTCCAATCCATCATAGTTAACGCACTTACTATCTGGATCAGACTTCCGAGGTTACTCATTTGGTATACCCAGACCTCAGTGTTTATTGCTGACAGAAAAAATAATTTGGAGCCTGAACTTTTCATTGGAATGCAATTCAACCTCTCTTTCTCTGTTAACTCAACAAATCGTCTTATAATGCTACCTCCCATTATCGGTGACAACGACGAATCAAAACAAAATTTGACATAATTTATTGGATTCCACAATTCTGGACTCTTATGTCAAACCAATGATCCTGATTTGGATAAAGAGCCAACTTCTTTCTCTGATCGGAACTCATCAGATACGAATGCAACGCTTGCAGAAATGGAAACTGTACCCATAAATTATGCATTCTAAACATTAAGTTATTCTGATATAACTAATACCCATTAGATCGAGAACATTATGCAGAATATGGAGTTGATGGCAGGTCAAATCACCACATACGGTGGATCTGCTGACGAAACATGGAAATTTGTAATTGACCAGTATTACAACACTGGTCTGCTATAATCTGCTTTCCCACCACATTTTTATAACGTGTTTCCCTGTTTTTTTTTTTTAAACTGTGAGATCAACACTGGGCAGGGAGTGTGTGGCGATATCAAGCAGGCTGGTTTTTAATTTGTAAAAACAATGGGACATGTCATGTATATTTTTGATATCGAAATATTTTTACAGTTAATAAATTTATATTTTTTTATTATGTTGGGAGTTTTCTAATTTTATATATTATCATAATCATTACTACTCCCACAGCAACACTGTCTAATATTTATAAGAATTATATAAACTAAATTGCAAAGTTGAAATTATTTGTTTAAAGTATATTAGAACTATAGTCAGAATTAAAAATTAAATCTGAATTATTTTCGATATACAAAATTTTTTTTTTTTGGAAAAAAAAGTTAAAACAGATTTTTTTTCCGAAATCATTTATTTTGTTAAGACAAGCAGAAAGTTCTTCGAATCATTTAATTCGGACGCTTAGTTCTCTTAAAAATTGCCATTTTTACACATTTTGCTCCGTATTTTCGAATGGCTGAGCCTGCCTTTGCCAAAAACTAATACTTCTCAAATTATTACTAATAGAATGTTTTTTAGATCATTCAAATCGGATGCTCCGTTCTTTCTAAAACTCGATTTCTATTTTCAGCACTCTTTGCTCTTTATCTCCGTAACTGCTGGACCTGGCTTTGCCAAAAACTAATCCGCACATCTCCCTATCAATAGGAATCGAATGTTTTTTGAACCATTTAAATCGGTTGATCCGTGCGCCCGAAAACGTGGACGAAAAATTGTATCCATACATACATACACACTCACACACACACACATCCATTTTTTCTGAGGTATGCCAAAATGTTCAGAAACCTTCAAAACGTCGAGAAATGTAAAAATTTTCAATTTCGATTTTCGGCCCATTACAATAACTTACCCTACGGGAATTTAAAAAATACTTTCGTTGAAAAATTAAAATGTAGTCGTTTATCTCGCGATCTTTTTCTTCTGGACATCAGAACATTTTTTGCCCTCTACTTTAAAATAGTAACATTTAAAAATAATTCACACACTTCACTTGTTTTTGAGAAAATGGTTAACAGGCCCTATCAATTCTGATTCTACTTCACAAAACTGATTTTTATAAAAAAAAATTGATTACCTCGCTTTTGCTGCTAGCAGGGCTGCAAGCAGCAGCAGGTTGCTGATTAGCCTGATTGTTTCCAGGTGGCATTGCAGCCTGTGACGTCACAGGACTGGGACTTTGTGACAAATCTCTTGTCAAAGAACTCACTAAGGCCGAAGTATCCGATAAAGTTGAACCTCTACGTTCCTGGGTGTGTTGAGTACCTGAAACTAATAAAAATAAATTGCAATAAAAAGATAATTATATATCGAATATATAATCTTATATAAAAATGGAGCTCTCGATCAAATGATTCGGTAAAACTCGAAAACGGCTAAACCGATTTGGCCAGTCTTAGTCTTGAAAATTCATGCTAATCAGTAGGTTGTCGGAAAGGTGAGATATTATTTCAAAATCGCATAGAAACTTTACATTTTTAATTTGAATTTTTTTGTAGAAGCGCAATTTAAATGAAACAATGGACGGTGACTAACACGTCAAATGTTAAACGTTTTTGACAGATGATGTTCAATTACGTTTAATAGGATGTTTTACGTGAATATTATTTAATTATGATTAAATTGTAGTAAGTAGTTTTGTTTGTAGTTTTATTTATATACAAAAACGTTAGTAAACGGGCCGCAAGTGCTACTAGAGACTCAAAATATCAACTTTTTTGAAATGTTAATATGAAAATGCACTTTTTGGCATATTTTTCTCAAACACGGTGTTCTGAAATATCTCATTTGTATAATTATATACTCATTGGTATTTATAAAACATTTTCTATGTTATTTTTTATTTATGTTATTTAAATTCAAAACCTAAACTTGGTATCGATCAAATGGATATTTTGTCGAATAACATTTTCCCAGTTATAATTTCCCAGAATTTATCGAAGAATAAATACTAATATATGGTGGTTCGGGAATAAAAAGGTCCAGCACCAATGTGTCAAAAATCAGTAAAGTTAAGCATTGTTTAACAACAATATTTGAAAGTAGAGGAAAAAAGATGTATAACCAGCTATAACCTTGATTCTTATAACTTTGCTATCAGGAGATAAACGGTAATCTTTGAAAATCCAAAATAAAAGTATTTTCTTCCCGTTGGTAGTTTTTGAGCATTAGTTAAAAATTTGAAAAAATACCTTTAAAATTAAAATATAGAGTAAAAGGTCTAGATAACAAATTTTTTGAAAGACAGCAATAAAGTACATTTCTACAATGATGAAGTAACTGGCAGTTTTACTGAACATAGTCAGATAATTGTTCGTTTGAAATGTGTTATTTGTTGTGATATAATTGCCCTGCTCTACATTACTTTTTCTTAAATTTACTTTAATTCATCGAATGTTACTTGAAACTTTTAAAAAAGCAGGTCAAAGAAGGAACACTTAATTCATTTTCTATATTCTCTCCTCGCAGAAATTTGAAAATTTTGTATAATCTCAGTAGTATTATTTACAATTATGCACAAAATCTAGAATCCAAAAAGAATCTGAAAAACTTGAAACGTAATCAATAAGTCGAAAGACCAAAAAAGACTTGGATAGATTATACTATGTTTTATATAGAAAGTGTATAAAACTTGCAGTTTGATTGTATTGACAAAATATAGACAAACTAATGGGGTTTATTGTTTTTATAATACCTTATTGTATATAGCATTCAACGACACATCCTTATACACTTAAAGTATTAATATTTTTGATTTTCTAGAAATTGTTTAGAATATACCTTACTTAGCAAAACAACATTTGCCGAGTCAGCTAGTATAAAATAAATAATTATATATCGATTTTTTATTATAAAAGACACGACCTAGAGGTGAAACTCCGATGCTTCTTGGTGAACTGCTACCAGCTGCATCCCTGTCTGCACGACCTAAGAGAAAAAAATATTAATTAAAAATTAGACGGGACAAAAACAATTATTTTATTTATTATTTAAAATTATTTATATATAAAATTTTTACCTGGTATGGTGACCGGACTGGAACTTCCACTAACATTTTTGCGCTTTTGTGGCTGCTGTTGACCATGATGGTCACTTTGGGATTGGTTACCATTGGAACCAATTGCTCTGACCAAATCACGTACCGATATACCACTTGATGTAGTGTTGGTATGGTGTTCTGATTTTTCGCTATCACTAAAAATAAAAATAAGTAGTTGAAAAGTGTAAATGACAAATTACCACAAATGGCTAATTGTAAGTAAATTTCACTGTTATTTCTTGTTCAATTTTGTTCGCGAAGTTTTTAAACGTTATATACAGAGTTGTAGACAATTTTATTATCTTTCTATCAATATATAACAACATATGTATTGTAGAACAAATTTTAGCAAAATAAACAAGAAACGAAAAAAGTGACCACCAATTGCTAATAACTTGTAACAAAATAATAAAATTTACACATTTTTCTTAATTAATATTGTTCGCAAAGTTTTAAAACGTGGTATACAGGGTTGTAGATAATTTTATTATCTTTTTAACGATATACAACAACATATATGTTGCAGAACTAATTTTTGCAACATAAACAAAACAATAGAAAAGTAACCACAATAGATAATAAATTCAGTTACTTGTAAGTAAAGTATAATTTTCGCATTTTTTTTCTAATCTAATTTTGTTCGCAAGGTTTCTAAACGTTATATACAGATTTATAGATAATTTTATTATCCTTCTAACGATATACAACAACATATATGTTGTAAAACAAATTTTAGCAACACAAACAAGAAACTAGAGAAGTAACCACGAATAGCTAATAACTTCAGTTACTTGTAACTAAAGTATAAATTTCACGTATAAAGTTCAACATTACTTTTTTGTCTATTTTTGTTCGCAAAGTTTTAAACGTGATATACAGAGTTGTAGATAATTTTATTAACTTTCTAATAATATACAACACCATATGGGTTACAGAATAATTTCTAGCAACATAAACAAGAAACTAGAAAAGTAACCACTGAAGGCTTAAGGGGCACAACTAGTGTGAAATTTTAAAAAAATCGAATTTTCAATTTTTCTATATTTCGATAGGTTAGACCTTTAAAAACAACATACCAAAATTTTAAATCGATATCTTAAATAGTTACAGCCATTTAAAGAGTATATATATAGTACATTCTATAACGATCATTTTATCTTCAAATGCGTTTTTCTTGAAACAGCATTTTCCGAATTTGCAGCAGCGATTACTCAAAAACAAATAATCCGATCACTATCGAATTTTTTTACATGTTCTATATATAGTTCTCCGTAAAATGAACTATCGATTTTTTTATCGGATCAAAAATCGAATTTTGGCAGTCCAAAAATGACCAAAATTTTGGGTAAAATTCGACTTTTCTTTGAAAAACGCCGTCATTTTGTCAATTTTTGATTTTTTTTTCTTTACCATAGTTCATTTTACAGACTTAAAACATGTATAAATATATTCCTAAAATTTTGAAATGATTGATAAAGTAGTTTTTTTAATATAAATTCCCAAAAATCACTTTTTTTTAGGTGGTTACACTAGTTGTGCCCCTTAATAACTTGTGACTAAATTATAAATTTCACTTTTCGCTTTTCTTATTTAATTTTGTTCACAAAGTTATTAAACGTTATATGCAGATTTGTAGATAATTTTATTATCTTTCTAACGAGATATGACAATATATATGTTGTAGAACAAATTTTAGCAACACAAACAAGAAACTAGGAAAGTAACCACCAATGGCTAATAACTTGTAACTAAATTATAAATTTCGCAATTTTTTCTTATTTAATTTTGTTCGCAAAGTTTTTAAACGTTATATATAAATAAGTAGACAATTTTATTAGCTTTCCAGCAATATATAACATTACCATTAACTTTTAATTTTATATAATAAAATTATGCAGGATTTAAAAAAGCGCATCCGATTTAAATCAAAACACATTATTTTCCAATAACTAACGTAAGTCAAACGATTCAGTCGGGATATCAAATTAGATTTGACAAAAAATGTATAATAAAATTTAATAATAAATTTACCTCTTCTTTTTGTCAGCACCAGAATTTTTGCCTTCTTCGCCCTTAAACCATTTTTGGAGGGCTTGGAATTTTGTCCCGCTACTTCCAACAACGCTATTTATGGCATTTCCAACACTACATATGGAACTGGCACTTGTACTAGTTACACTTTTCTATAAAAAAATATAATAAAGTCATTAAAACCCACTGACCTATCAAGAAACAAAAATATAACTAGCTGTAGGTGGAATTCTGTCTTGAGGCAATTATGGCATCGTGCCTTGAGGCAAATTGCTGGAACTTCCCGTACAGTAACGAAATGTTCGAGGAATACTGAATGTTTTCAAATAGATTATTATAAATATTGTAGCATTGTCTAATATTTATAAGTATTATATAAACTGTATTACAAAGTTGTAATTATTTGTTTAAAGTATATAAAATATATAGTCAGAATTAAAATAAAATCTGAATTATTTTCGATTTACAAAAAAAAAAAAAAATTGAACGAAATTTTTTTCCAAAATCAATTATTTTGTTAAAACAAGATGAAAGTTCTTTGATTCATTAAAATTGGACGCTTAGTTCTCTCAAAAACTGCAATTTTTTGCACATTTAGCTCTGTATCTTCGAAATGGCTGGGCCTGCCTTTGCCAAAAACTAATAAACACTTCTCCCAATCATTACTAATTGAATGTTTTTTAGATCATTCAAATCGGATACTCCGTTCTCTCAAAAAGTCGATTTCTATTTTCTGCACTCTTTGCTCCGTATCCCCGAAACGGCTGGATCTGCCTTTGCCAAAAACTAATCAGCTCTTTTCCCTATCGATAGGAATCGAATGTTTTTTTCAAATCGGTTGATCCGTGCGCCCGAAAACGTGACTGGAAATTTGTATCCATACATACACACACACACACATCCATTTTTTCTGAGGTATGCCAAAACGTTCAGAAACCTTCAAAACGTCGAGAATGTAAAAATTTTCAATTCCGATTTTCGGCCCATTACAATAACTTATCCTACGGGAAGTTAAAAATATAATTCTTATTACCTGTGATGTGATTCCCTTGGGTGGTGAACTCGACTTTTCAAAGTTTTCAGCAATTTTGTTGAGTCCACTTTTTGATTGCTGCGAAGCTGCAGCCACCATGCTTGCAGTATCCTGTTTAGTAGCAGTCTTAATTTTCTTAACCGAATATTTGTCTTTAGGAGTTTGCTGCTGGTGATCTCCGAAAACAAACGGATTGACCTCCTGAATCTCTGCAGATGATCCTGCTGACATCGCTGGTTCCTGAGATGACTGAAACACAAGAATAAATTGCCACAATTTGTTGCCAACAATTATTTTCTATTTTTCTTACCTTGCTCGGTTGGAATCTAAAAGTGCTCGCCGGTCCATAAGAAGCGAAATCGAACGCCTGTTTTTCGGCAGGTGCTCCTGGTGGTGCTTCCGGAGGCGTCGTGTCCTGGTGGACGAGTCCTGCGCGTTCGTCGAGCACGAATTTACCACCAGGTCCTGGTGATGATGTTATGAGCCAGTAGGCTTCGTGTTCGGGGATGTGTCTGCCTACTGCTGTTCCTATGCGGCCCCAAGCACCTTCTTCGTTAATAACCTGAATAAAATATTAATGTTAGGTACAAATATAAGAAAACTAAATTAAGCGAATAATTCTCGGATGATTTTTAAATTTTAGAAATTGGCCTGTGCGTTTTTGAGAAAACGTCGAAGAAATTTAAAATTTGACTCGCATACTTTGGACATTGCCTAATGCATCAAAAACACAGTTATTATTACTGGCTGCATGTCTGCATTCGCATGAAATTTAGCGTAATATAACTGGATTTTTAATATAATTGTCATTTATTTTCAGCTTTTTGTATTCGTGTCATTAAAAAAAGGCTTTTATATACTATATATGGTACGATTTATTAACTTCCCGAAGGAGAAGTTTGTTGTCATAAAAAAATCTGATTCGCTAATTTTATGTTTTCACGGTGTTTGAAGTTATTCTGAATCGAATGAGATCAAATTAGGAAAAAGTATGTGTGTGTGTATGGGAGTGTATGTGTATGGAAGTGCATGTGTGAACAGATTTTTAGCCTTTTTTCGACGATTATTCAAAAATGACTGGACCGATTTCAAAAATTTCCAAAAACCATTCGAAGTATCTCGATGAGGACTAGTGTTTCTCAGTTTTGTGGGACGATCAGTCTAGCCATTTCTTAATGATTAAAAGAATTATGAAAAAAATAGTCCAAGTTTTAGCCAAAATTTCCGAATCGATTTAAAAAACTCTTCGAAAGATATTAACTTCCAGTAGTAATCGCAAAATAATCCACAATGAAAATTTTTATGCATCTTTACGTTTCAAAGGTTTCAGAACAATTTGGCATACCTTAGAAAAAATGGATGTATGTGTTTTTGTGTGTGTGTGCGGATACAAATTTTTGTCGACGATTTCGGGACAACGGATCAACCGATTTGAATAATTTAATAAATTTGGTCGCAAAGCGACTCAAAAAAATATTTTGCTGGAGTATTCTAATTTTCGAAATTTTTTATTTTCAAGAAAAACTAAATTTAATAAAACTCAAAAATATCCAAAATAAGAAAAATAGATTTCTTACAAAAATTTGATAATATTTCGAAATTTTCAAGAAAAATCGAATATTTTCAAAAATTTCCAAATTCTCAAAAAATTTAGAAAAAACGTTTTTTAAAAAAATATTTAATATCTTTGGATCTAACTGCGTCTCCAACATCATATAAAGAGATTTTGTAGTAAAGAGTAAAAAAAAATTATGTTGCTTATTTCAATCGATTCGAGTTGGGGAAAGGGTATGTAAATCCTATGTTAACAATGAACTGCTTTTATTGTTAAATTATTGCAAAAACAATTTTTTTTTTCAATTAACTGAAAGTTGAATTCAAAATGAGTACAATAAAAAAAATCATACTGCTCTGTTCACCACAACTGGAGATATTATGATTAATGCAGAGAAAAACGACCAAAATTGAGCAAATTATCCAAATTTCAATCGTAAATATTTTCTTTAAAATTTTTTTTAAAGCAAAATCCTGAAATACGTGTCAAATGATTTTATGAATAGTATCTGTAAACAAATTTTCAGACAATTCTAAAATGTCAAGGTTAATTGGTGTTCGGTTTGTAAAAGAATGACTACATGATAAATGTAATTATAACACATATCGGGAAGCTCATGCCACTAGCCTTAAGGCATAATGCCACTTTCAACTAGTCTTAATATCAATTCAAATACTTACATATTCTCTGATGAAAATTTCTTCCCCTTCATGAACAAAAACATCTGACGGCAATTTCAGTGAAGGACCTCGCATTGCCCTTTGTGGAGCAAAAACACCTCTCTGGCTAATGATGTAGCGATGAGATTGTTTACGACCCCTAAAATAACAAGAAATTTACATAATTTCTGCAATTATTGATTTATTATCATTAAGCAATCTATCCCTTACCCTTTGGGTGCACTCGTCGACGCTCCAGGTAACTCGGGTGAATTTGCATCGATCATCAAACGATCTCCTAATCCTGTCGATTGATGTGCATGATGGACAGATACGGGTGTCAAAAGCACCCTGGAATAATGTCTGTTGAATTGTAGACACCAGGCTTCCTGGACATCAGGTGCACAATAAGCACGCATTGTGTCTGGACTTAGGCGGACCCATACACCATCATCGTTGTGAATCTGAAGAAAAAATGATAATTTGATACAATGATATTCTAATAATAATTACTAGTTAAGTCCTTTATCCATATGTTTTCCGTTGTATATAGTGCTCAAAGTGAGACGTCACTTGTCTGAGCGAACATTGCCGACGACAATCGTAGACTCTCTTGTCATATGTCATATATTATGTGCCTAACATAGGCCTTATAATATATAAACCGATTTTAACTGGTGCATTCGATTTTATGTACATTTATTTCAAAGGAAAAATATCAATATCATTTCTTACAAAATTATAAGCCATCACAATTGTCAGTATATTATTAAAATTAAACATACGACATGTGACATTTAATCGATCGGGAGAGTCCGCGATTGTCGTCGGCAATGTTCGCTCAGACATGTTACGTCACAGTCCCTTCTATGTTTGAGCACTTATTTGCGCCTGAGTAGCAGTCCATGTGGCATAAGGTATATCGATAAAGTGCATTGTAAAATATTTACTATGATACAATATGTATGAACATAAATTTTAATAAATACGAAAAAATCAGTTTTAATTAATATGAATATGGAATTTACAAGAAATGCATTGAATCACGCAAGCCATTAGACTTCAATTAAATCATAAGACTTGACCGAATCATCCGACTTCATTCGACTTGTGATAATTTCATTTATCTATATAATATTTCATAATGATTAATATTATTGGCAAACAAATTAAACTATAAGACAAACAAGGAAAAGGGACTCTACTGACGAGCAAACTTTAAATTTGATCTAGAAGTTAAAAAGGTACTCTACTGACAAGAAAATTAAATTGCAAAGTATACGATAAAAATGAAGAGGGACTCTACTGACGAGCAAATATTAATTTTGGTCTAGAAGTTAAAAAAAGGACTCTACTGACCAGCATATTAAATTGCAAAGTGTAACGTTAAAAGGGACTCTACCGACGAGAAAACTTAATTTTCATCTAGGAAATAAAAAGGGACTCTACAGACGAGCAAATCAAATTGCAAAGTGCAAGATGAAAAAGAGACTCTACTGACGAGCAAACTTCAATTTTGATCTAGAAAATAAAAAGGACTCTACTAACGACCAAAGTAAATTATGAACTAGAATATAAAAAAAAACTTTACTGACAAGCAAACTTAAATTTTGATCTAGATTAAATGATGAAAATGGACTCTATTGACGATCAAATTAAATTGCAAACTATAAGATAAAAAAGAAACTGTACTGACAAGTAAATTAAATTGAAAACTAGAAAATAAAAAAATAAAATAAATTCTACTAAAAGCAAACTTTAGTTGAGACATAGTAACTAAAAAAAGTGACTCTACTAACGAGCAAATTAAATTGCAGAGCATACGATAAAAAGGAAGTTCACTAACGAGCAGCAGTAAATTATGACTTAATTATGAAAAAAAATGACAAGCAAACTTTAATGTTGATCTAGAAAACAAAAAGGACTCTACTGTTAATTTGAAAATAAAAATGCTAATAAAGTGTAAATTTTGATAAAGAAATAAGAAATAGGTCTCTACTGACAAGCAACTTAAATGGCAAACTATAAGATGTAAGTGAGTCTACTGACGAGCAAACCTTAAAATTCAGAAGAACCAGAAGTTAAAAAATCTAATTTTCATCAAAATCAAAATTAAATCATTTTTAACAATTTTTATAATATCTCTACGATAGCATCAATGTTCATAAATCTTTACTTCGTCTCATAATGATTGGTCAAAATCAACAATAATTATCATAAATTTTTAACAATAAATACATCGATGGGACCTATTTGCAAATATTTTATATAAGCTTGTTACGACGTGATTTGAGTCAAGAAATTTTAGAGTCGTCAACTTAATTAACCCTTTCCACTCCAAGGCTGTTTTTGTTTATATTCCACCATTTCCACCAGCTGCACGCTAAAATTACGTTTTTTTACTTTTAGTGTTTTTTGTGTCTTTTGTAAAAGAAATATTTTTTGTGGCTAAAATATTAACATCATATTTATTTATTTTTTATTTGATTCATTCGTGATTCAAACATTTTAGTAACAAAAATTCCCCCTGTTTTGAAAGCAAAATGAGGTATTACTTCATTTCGAGTATCACTCGACAGTGGAGTTAGTGGTACAAAATCAGTGTCGAGTGGCACTCGACATTGGAGTGAAAAGGGATAATAATGATATGTTTATGATTATCATTTATTCTTTACCTCGTCAACAAATGCAATGGTCTCATCGCACTGGACAATAGCCAATTGTTCGCTCTGCAAACAAGGATGAGCCCTGATCCTCGCTCTGCAAACGAAGGATGAGCCCTGATCCTTAGCCCTGCACTCGGTCTGCACGTGAAACGCAGCAGTCGTTCTGCAGGCGCATCTGGTGGAATTGTGGGAGGAACTGCCGGTCGTCTCGGCGGAGGCGGTGCTGTTCCTGCAGGAGGCGCCAGGACGCGGACAGTGATCGACTGAAAAATTGAATGATACATTTGAGGTTATATATATTAATTATCCACTATCAATCTTTTATTAACTTCCCGTAGGGTAGTTATAGTAATGGGCCGAAAATCGAAAATGAAACTTTTTGCATTTCTCGACGTTTTAAAGGTTTCTGAACATTTTTAGGGCATACCTCAGAAAAAATGGATGTGTGTGTGTGATTGTGTATGTATGGATTCAAATTTCCAGTCAGGTTTTCAGGCGCACGGATCAACCGATTTGAATGGTTTAAAAAAACATTCGATCCCTATTGATAGGGAGATGTGCTGATTAGTTTTTGGCAAAGGCAGGTCCAGCCGTTACGGAGATAAGGAGCAAAGAATGCAAAAAATACAAATCGAGTTTTTAAGAGAATGGAGTATCGGAATTGAATGATCTGAAAAACATTCAATTTGTAATGATTGGGAGAAGAGGCGATTAGTTTTTGGCAAAGACACGTCCCGCATTTCGAAGATACTGAGCTAAATGTGCAAAAAATGGCAGTTTTTGAGTGAACTAAGCGTTCGATTTGAATGATCTAAAAAAACTTTCTGCTTGTATTGACAAAACAATTGCTTTTGAGGATAAACAATTATCACATCTTTTTTTATTTTCCATAAAATATCTTTGTAATTTTGGATTAAGAATTCAAACTAGCTGTAAGTGGAATTCTGTCTTGAGCAATTATGGCATCGTGCCTTAGGCAAATTGCTGGAACTTCCCGTACCGTAACGAAATGTTCGGGGAATACTGAATGTTTTCAAATAGATTATTATAAATATTGTAACATTGTCTAATATTTATAAGAATTATATAAACTGAATTGCAGAGTTGAAATTAATTTAAAGATAATTAGAACTATAGTCAGAATTAAATATAAATCTGAATTATTTTCGATATACAAAAAACTAAAAAAAAAAAAAAAAATTGGGAACAATTTTTTTTTCCAAAATCAATTATTTGTTAAGACAAGCAGAAAGTTCTTTGAATCAATTGAATCTGACGCTGAGTTCTCTCAAAAACTGCCATTTTTTACATATTTAGCTCCGTATCTTCAAAATGGCTGGGCCTGCCTTTGCCAAAAACTAATAAACACTTCTCCCAATCATTACTAATTGAATGTTTTTTAGATCATTCAAATCGGATACTCCGTTCTCTCAAAAAGTCGATTTCTATTTTCTGCACTCTTTGCTCGTTATCTCCGTACCTGCTGGACCTGTCTCCACCAAAAACTAATCAGCTCTTTTCCTTATCAATAGAAATCGAATGTTTTTTAAACGATTCAAATCGGTTGATCCGTACGCCCGAAAACGTGGGCGAAAATTTGTATCCATACATACATACACACACACATCCATTTTTTCTGAGGTATGCCAGTAAAATGTTCAGAAACCTTCAAAACGTCGAGAAATGTAAAAATTTTCAATTCCGATTTTCGGCCCATTACAATAACTTACCCTACGGGAAGTTAAAAATCACCCAGGCTAAGCACAGTCCAAACGCCACTCTGGTGCAAATGTTTACCCAAGTGCGTTTAAACTGTTTATGTGCTGGACCACTTATCAAATTTTGGGAAAACTATTGAAAAATGTGAAAATGCCGCCAAGCTAAACACAGTATAAGTGAAAATGTCGCACAGAATTATTTGCAAATGCAAATTAGACTGTGACTATACGGGAGCACTTTTTCAATTTTGTGTAAATTACTATGCAACTATTTTTTTGAAATTGAATCCGAAATGAAATGACGATTGTTTATGTTCTGCAGATAAATTGATTTATGATTTACATTTGATTTGCTCAAATAATGATTTGCAAAAATAATGAAGTTAAAGTATTTGTAATAATATATTTGAAAACGTTTAAAACTTCTCGAATATTTCATTACGGTACGGAAAGTTCCAGCAATTTGCCTTAAGGCACGATGCCATACACCACTAGTTACCTTAGGCAATGGATATCCATCGACGGTAGCCTGAAGAGTGTAGTCACCCACTGCAGTGGGCGTCCAGGTTCCCCCGATATACGCGCCAGAGTCTTGACAGCCGTGACACGAACCGTCTCGCTCGTCGGACACTGCGACGCCGCGCGGCCGGAATAAGAAGCAGGACCGGTCGCCAGGCGTAAATTCTTCGAAGGAGTAATTCGAGAAAGCCTAGAGGGAACAGAAAAATAAAAAATAAAAATATATAAATATATTTTTTTATTATTTTATTGATTCCTCACCTTCATAATGGTGATGCTTTTGAAGCACATCTTGTCCCTGACGGTGGCTCGTATTTGGCAGCAGGCGGAGGAGGGTGTCCTCCCGGAAAGTGGTTTGATTGACAAATGGTGCTGATGCGGCAGTAAAATTTGAAGAGTTGGCTGCAGGTTGGGGGTCGCTTGTGGTGGTGGAAATGTCCACATTTGGTCCACCGTCTACGGGAATTGCCTTTAAGGTAACCTGGGAATAGGAGATAAACACATTTAAATTAACACATTTGTTATTTATATATATATATTATATATATATAATATATATATTCCGGGTCATCTAGTATATATATACTAGATGAACCAGCAAACGTTGTTTAGTCATAACAAATATAAAATGTATAAATACAAAATGTTTAGTACAAAAATTATTAACTGATCCGCAAATGTGGTGCATAAGTGAAAGGAGCATCTAACAAAAAATATATGAATAGTTTACCCACTGGAAAGCACGCCACATATAATTGTCCCTTAATAATCTTTGCAAGGACGAAACTAATCTGAAACTGATTCTATTTAAATTGAATTGAAAGTTTCAAGATTTTGATATATTATTACCACGCATTTTATCAATTTAGTAATTTTTGAATTGCGAAGGAAAATCCGATAAATAATTTTTAAATTATATTGTTATGTGGCATGCCCAAAGAATTGTTTGATATCGATA